ATAAAAAAGTTAAGATTTTCAAGATTTTTGTTCCAACATTTGTGCTTCAAACTCCACTCTAAAAATTTTGGATTTAAAAATAGTGGCTCTCCACAAAACTACGTTCGCAAGATATTTGTAAGAATATTACCAAATTTTTTGAATGAATGAACTCTAACATGTGAAATTCACCTAATTTACAAAATTTGTTGAATGAATGGACTCTACCCTGTGAAATTTATCTAATTTATTAAATTTGTTGAATGAATGAACTCTATTTGTAAGAAACATTATTCTGCGAAATAATTGATGAATGAACACTACTCTTAATTTTTTATTCTTTTTGCACAAAAACAATGACTTGCGTTAAACAATGTTTAAAGTTCATTGTGTTATGATTTTTTGGTTGCGTTTTCTGGCCATCGTGTTATGGTTTTTTGGTTGTGTTTTGTGTGGTGGCGTTGAAATTTGGTGCAACTGAGAGGCGGTTGGTTTTGTTTTCTGGCCATTGTGTTATGATTTTTTGGTTGTGTTTTCTGGCCAGAATTGGATAGAGGCTTTTGTCATTGATGGAATGATTGGTGTTGATGACTGGTCCAATTCTGTAGCTAATTTTTTGGCCAGAATTGGATAGAGGTTTTTGTCATTGATGGAGTGGTTGGTGTTGGTGACTGGTCCAATTCTGTAGCTAATTTTCTGGCCAGAATTGGTCCAATTCTGTAGCTGATTTTCTGGCCATAATTGGATGGAGGTTTTTGTCATTAATGCTTTGATTGTTGTTGATAACCGGTCCAATTCTGTAGCTGATTTTCTGGCCAGAATTGGATAGAGGTTTTTGTCCTTGATGCTTTGATGGAGTGATTGGTGTTGATGATTGGGTGCAACTGTGATAGAAGTTATTAGGTTTTAGTCTTTTTGAAGGATTCAAGCCAACTCTGTGGATTTAGAATTTTAAATTCTTTTGTGCTAAGACAATTTGTGTTGGTGCAGTCTGTTGCTGCAATTTTTTATTCTTGTAATATTTGATTATTCATGAAATAAAATTCTCTCTTTTTCAAACTGGGATGTGCCATTACAGAATCTGCCTTCTCATTTGCTATAACAATACAACACTCCCCTGTGAGAATATCATTATGTTGAATATTATTTTGATGAAGTTCATTATATGGCCTATACAAGTTACTATTTTATCTTCCTTTTTATATTTATTGAAATACCGCAACTGATTTGCAATATTCTGTGTATGTTCAACAGCTTTCATCCACTACCTGATATCTAGTTCAAGCAATTCTACCTGGTTCAAGAATGACATCTTCAAGCATGGCAACAAACAATGAAAAGTTAAGATATCACAATATGTATTGCCCCGTTTGTACCAAAAGAGCGATTATCAAAGTTTCTGAATCTGAAAAAAATCCTGGGAAGCTATACTGTAAATGTCCAAATGATTCCAGTCACTTTTTAAAGTGGATGACTCCTATTACTCTCCCCTTTTGGGAAATTAGAAATGAAATGATGGATATACGACGAATTGAAGACAATATACGACGAATTAAACACAATGTAATGACATTGAAGTCAAATATATTTGTAGTCACCTTACTAGTGATGATTATTATATTTGTGATTCTAGTGAAGTAGATCTGTAAGAGTAATGATGTAGTGATGAAACTTGTGTTATAAATAAACTTGTGCGTTTAATTTTAATGAAATTATAGGTTTTGTATATTGTTGTGACTTAGAAAATTATATTCATTAAAAAAAGATCACATTCATAAAAAAAAAGATCACATTCATTAAAAATCATATTACAAGCATTCTTACTACTGCTAGTAGTCTCACTAAAAATAAATAGTTTTCAACAAAATGATCCAATAACAATAAATGGTTCATTAAATGATCCAACATGCAACTAGTAGCTTCCATCTGCATCCTTATAACTGTTGATCTTCTAAACATCCTTACAAGTTGTATCCTCCATTCATGAAAAATAATTCAGCATCATTTAAAGAATGCACATGTGTTGAATTAGTCAGAGTACCCTACATAAATGAGAAGAAGTCAAACAACAAAACTTGATACATAAGACAAACAATAAAATTAACAATAAGGTAATATACCATAACACTTTATACACTATTTAAAGCTTGAGAAAACATCGAATGACCATATGCTAATGTAAACAGGTGACTGAAACCTTGTACCTGAAATAAAAAATACTTACAATTATGTTTATAAAAATATAAAGTGAATTAAAAAAATCTACAATTATATTTATACGATACCGTAGAGATATGTGATGGTTGGGAAGCTCATTTTTTCCTCTTTGTTCCTTTCTCATGCCAAGATTTTAGTCGACCCCAACCCTTGTAACCACCTTCTTTTCTTTTTAAACATTTTACTTGAAAAAGTGTTGGGTCAACATTTTCTATTCCACTTGGGTCAATATTTTCATAGATTGGGTCAACATTTTCATAGATTGAATCATCGCCACCGTCATCAATTGATACATACAAACTATCCACTTGTTTAAACAATTCCTCAACACCATGTAACACCAATTGATATGCAGGTTGAAGACCAGAGGATCGACCAGCTAGTTGTACCATTCTAGGACAAAGTTACCTGTAACGTGGCGCCACCATTAACTTGGGATTCTCTTTATTTGACATTAAAATGAGGGTTGTCCTACAACTCTTTTTTGCATTTTGTCTTCATCTCTTACATATGTATTGCTCAAGAATTTGCTTAATATTCATCGTGTTCAAGACTTTAAGTGCATGGCCACATAATATTCCCTCTATTTCAAACTTCCAATAACTATAATTGACTATCTCCTCATTAACCTTAACCACGACCAAATACTCTCTATGTTCATCATATAATTAAACCACAAATTGATGGCACTCATCCAACACATCACATGGTGTCGCAATAGCACACTGAAAGATATCATATTCCTCTTGGAACAGCTCAAACATAGTAGGAGTGTACACTTGCCCAGCTTGCACTAACATTGGAGCTCTTTTTAACTTCAATCTGGGTAATTTTTGTCTAACTTGGTAATCTGAGTCTGACTCCTTATATTGCTTATCATTCACAATTCTTTCAAAATATACAAAGAACTGAACAATGTCATGGTCTGTCTTTAAGTACTTTCGTAAGGCTGCATTCAAGCTCTAACTCAATTGGGTGCTTCTCATTCCTACAGTGAAAGTTCTCTTCATATACACATGCCCCATTTCTCTCACAATGCCTAAGTGGCTTTCATCTACATATTATCATGCAAATTATATTCTGCAAGCAATGAATCCCAAGTCTCAACTAATCCATGCTCATCTTCATATCCATACACATACTCTTTAAATTGAGCAGAAAAATGTGAACCATCCTTTTATATGTTTCTCAAATATTTCAAAGTATTTTGACAAATGTGCCAAGTACATAACCCATGGTATGTCTCTGGCATAACTATAGAAATAGCCTTAGTCATTGCTTGATCTTGGTCGGTGAAGATGGTAATAGGATATTTCTCAAACATAACTTGTAGGAATGTCTCAAATAACCACTGAAATGATGTTGTTGTTTCATCATACAATAATGCAGCTCCAAATAAGACTGTCTTCCTGAAATGATTGAAGCCAGGAAAACAAGAAAATGGTCGACACTCCTTGTTCATTCTAAAAGTAGTTTCAAATGAGACAACATCTCCAAAGTTGTCATAGTCTATAATCATCACTAGGTCGGCCCAAAAAATATTAATAATATGCTCCTCTGCATCCAATTGCACTCCATAATAGAATGATGGATTTTTCACTACTTCTGTTTGAAAATACTTCAACAAACTACCCGCCTCACCATACCTCAAGTCTCGTTGCCTCCTTTTACGGAGATAATTCTTTTGGTCAAGATGAGTAAAATCAAGACTTTCCTTTCCTTCAGACTGAGTACTTAAAAGATCATAGGAAACCTTAAGTGACAATCCATAATCCACTGTCATATCAATATTAATGCCTTGTGATTCGGTAACTTTTCGTTGGGATGACATCATATGCATACATTCAGCCAAGATGCAAATGATGGTTGTGGTTGTCGTCCCACTTCACTACAACAAATTTATAATTTCTCTATTAAGAGATATGCACATATGAGCTTGACAATCTGTTCTTATCTCTGCGAGAGGCTTCTTTATTTGACCCTCTCTTTTATCACGACCCCTATGACCTTGTTTACAACAAACATATTTTCTGTAAATGACAACGCTATCTTTCAAGCTTTTATTCTGAAAATATTTTCTCACGCCAAATCCCACAGACCCTCCATAACTATTGTAAAATGCATAAGCATCTTCTTCGCGTCAAATTGCATACCAATATGAGATATATTATCAGTCGCATTAACTCTCAAATCATTCATCATTGTATCCTATGAGTAAAATTAAAATTAAAGTGAGACATAAATTATTTCCAAGATAAATAACCGAAACCGTACATACCAATATAGAAGTTTATATAAGCGTCATTATTGAACAATAGACATGAAGAAAATAATATTTGGAACTCTTCTTTAGATTGGAAACAGATTCTACTTGTTCCTCATTTTGATTTCCAGGATACAAATCAATAAAAGTTTTTCTTCTAACAAAAACCAAAACAAGAATTATCAAATCCACACTTGATATGTGAATGCAATTTGATAATTATTCTAAAAACCATGACATACTTTGAGCCAAAAAGAATAGTACGCCAAACAATGATCTGTTACAACAAATTTTCATATATCAACAATTGCGTGTTACACTAGATATATCAACAATTGTGTGTTATACTAGATATATCAACAATTGTGTGGAGACAATCCTGCAAAGGGAAATAGTCACACTAGATAGCTTCCAGCAAACTGTTCTTCACTAGCCTAATGTTGTATAGAAGATTTTTATATAACTTCATTGTTACCTTTTAATTGATTCTTACTGATAGTTCCTGATTCAACTAACACACCAGCTACAACAAGTTTTCATTATGGTCAGTTCGACTGAGTTAAGGAAGAAGAAGGCGGGAGAAGCAGAAAGTGGGGGAAAGAGGGAGATTTCAGATCTGGGAGCAGAACCAAAAACGACGTCGTTTTTGGTTAGGGTGAATAAAAAAAAATTCCAAAAATTAAGTGGAATGGTGTCGTTCCACTTAACCGCATAACATGCGATTTTCTCCCAACAGCAGAGGATCTGCTGCTCATTCGTAGCTGGCTAGAGTGTGGCATCTGGGAGAAGGGAGAGGTGAGAGTGAAGGAGGAGGAGATCTGAGATAGGGTTCTGGCTCCTCTCCTTCCCGCATGACATGCGGTTTAATAAAATGGCGGCGTTTGACTGGTCTTTTGGAATTTTTTTTTATTGACCCTTACCAAAACAACGTCGTTTTGGTCCTCTCCTTACCGCATGACATGCGGTTTAATAGAACGACGGCGTTTGGCTGGTTTTTTGGAATTTTTTTTTACTGACCCTTACCAAAACGACGTCGTTTTGGTCCAGATAAAACCACAACTGAAATCCACAGTCTCGGGGACGATTTGAAGCTCACATGCCCATCTGAAATCCACTCTCACAAACCCATTTGAAGCTCTCATCGATGAGATCGTATTCTCCATCATCGATAGCCTCAGGGATGATTCTCAAGGCAAAAAATCATTCTCTCTCGCATGCAAATCCTTCCACTCCATTGAATCGCGTCACCGCAAAACCCTCAAGCCTCTTCGCACCGATCTCCTCTCAAGAACACTGCAAAGATACCCTTTTATATCTCGCCTTGATCTCAATTACTGTCCACGTATTGAGGACGATATGCTTTCTATTATGTCTACAACTTACAAATCTACATTGTTGTCGATTGATCTTTCACGTTCTAGATTTTTTACAAATAGGGGTTTGTCGAGTTTGGTCATGAACTGTTCGGCTTTGGTTGAGATTGATTTGTCAAATGGGACTGAGTTGATGGACTCGACAGCAGCGGCGATTACGGAGGCTAAGAACTTGGAGAAGTTGTGGTTGGCAAGGTGTAAACTGATATTAGACATTGGAGTTGGGTGTATAGCTGTGGGGTGTAAGAAATTGAAGCTGATTTGCTTAAAGTGGTGTTTGCGTATTAGTGATCTGGTCATGGGATGAAAGGAGCTCTATTTTTCACAAAATCATTAACTCAACATAGCAGCACAAAGGCAAAGCCGAAGTGAGAAGAGTTATGGCGGCGATAATGAAGGTAGGAGTAGTTGAAGATAGCCAAAGTAAGTAGCAATCGTATGACAATAGCGAAGGTTGGAGAAAGAAAAGCGAGGGGTCTGATGCTGATTTAAATGACTAAAACGACGTCGTTTCCGTAAGGAGAAATAAAAAAAATTATAAAAAGAACACCAATCGCCGCCGTTTTATTAAACGACATGATATGCGATAACCTCCCTTGCCGCAGAGGAGTCGGACCCTCTGACAGAGAGGAAATAAATTTCATCGTCATCGAGGAAAATAGCTCGAACCCTTTAAAAGACTACTATACTAAACTCGTCCTAATTACATAGAGAGTTAATTATGCCCCTAAATTAAATTATCGATGTACGTAAAAAAATTTAAGTACTTTTTTTTTATAGAAAATGTGAATTATATTTATAATTAAATTAAATAATAAATTATTTGTCAAAATTATATAAATCTTTAAATACCTAATTTGTCATTTACTAGTTATAACCCGTACCTGAAAGTACAATAAAATATAAAATTCGAGTGCCCAAAAAATTGATCTCATTATATTAAATTTTTTTAACATGTTCATATTATCGTATATGTATAATGTTTGAAATAAAAATTATATTAACTATAAATTAATCAAATATTAAATAATTAAATATATAACAAAAATGAGTGATGTATATTTTTAGATGAAAAATATGTAAATGATTAAACATGTGATAGAAATAAGTGATGTGATGGTTTTTAAGGGAAAAAATAAATAAGAGATAAAAATTTAAGTTGTTATGTGTTTTATTATATAGATTTAAGTATTTCTCAACCTTCTTTAAACATTTGTGTATCTAATTATATTATAAAATTATTATTTTTTATTTTGTTAAATAGATTGATTAAATTGTTTATAATATTTATTATATTATTATATACAAAAAAATAAAATATAAACATATATTTCATAGTGAAATTCAATCTAACAACTACATTTGTATAAGAAAATTGTATATAACTGTATTACTAATAAATGAAATCAAAAAAAATTATAAGTCCTTATAAAAGAATCCAAAATAAGTTAAAAATCAAATAAGACTAAAAAATTAATATTAGATGAAAGTACATAAAAATGCATAATTGACTTTATTATAATAATTATGAATAAAATAACAATTTTTTTTTTTTTTTATAGATGTTGACATTTATAATTAGTATAGATTATTTGTATCAATCAAAATCATGAATTGTGTTGTATGCTAATTTATCCTTTAAACTATATTATTTGTGTCAATATGGTCTTTCTGTGTTAACTTTGACATAATTCTTTACTTACACATCACATGAGTCAGTTGATATTAGAATATAGTTTAAGGGTCACGTGTTGTGCACGCGAGAAATTCTATCAAACTTAACGACGAATTTGGATGAAAGTGTCATACTGACACAAAACGTAGTTCAAAAACTTAATTTACATAAATGGTATAGTTTAAAGGTCAAATAGATAGTTAACTCCGCATGAAAAATCCGTCATACTTCAACAATTATAAGAAAAACCTCTCGATTTTGTTTGTTGTAATTATAACTTATTTTTGAACAACTGCATATTATATATACTTTTGGTATTTTTGTTTTAGATTCTTGAAAGAAAAAATGAATTTATATGGTTGATTAAACAATTTTTTATGGATTTTATTAGAAAAGCAATTATTTTTGGGATGATTATCAAATTATAGGGTTTTTAAAAAATTAAAATATTTCTGCACAAATTTAGTACAATTTTAGCTCGAGTTTTGTTCAAAAGCTTGTGAGCTTATTCCGAGCTTGATCAAGAATCTCATCACAATCAGTCATAAATTAAGACGATTTTTAGCATACTTAAACTGGATATCCTTGACTCGATTGAGTCTCTGATTTTCACCAAAACACCCCTACCAAATACATTGATGTCACTCGATATTTAAACAATTATATGGTATCTTAAGATTTGATATTAGAGTACCACGACTAATCCAATTATAGTAGTGAATTGAGTAAGTGAATGTAAAAACTTCATCCTACTTAATAGGTAGAATGAGTAATGGTAGTTAGTAAGTAAGAAACCGTTAATAAACGAGGAAGATAGACTTTCACGCAAGTATAGAGTTAGTTAGGGTCTTGCTTCTACAAACACAAACTAGCTCAATTTTGTGACATCGATATCGACTCGAGAGACATCGAGACACAATAGTCATGGCATGACATAATAATATTGGGTGATATAGATGAAGTGGTCAATATTGGAGGACTAGTTATTTTTCGTGCCTGAAGGCACAGAGTAATAAAAAAAATAGTCAATAATAAATATATTTGTATTTACACCTAAAATCAAATCACAAATATAGAGAAGATAAAACATAATTTAAACACCAATTATAGTGGGTATGAGTGGTGGTGATGGGAGACAATGATGGTTGTAGTGAGTGACGATGACTATGGTGGTAATGGCAGACATGAGTGGCAATGGTAATAGTGGTGGTTTCGGGGTGATAAATGGTGATAGTGGTAACTATGAGCGACAATGGCGGGGCGTGGGTGGGTGGTGGTAGGTGACAGTAGTTGACGACGATGATGGACGACGACGAATGGAGGTGGGTGCTAAAAGTGGGCGACGTGGTAGTGATAATAAATATAAGAGTGAGATGACAATAGTGGTAGGTGGTAGTTGTAATAAATATAAAAATGAGATGACAATGGTGATAAGTGGCGACAGTGGACGACGGTGATAACAACCGGTGGTGGGGATAGTGGAGGTGATCGTGGGGTAATGGCAGTGGTGGTGGGAATGACAACAATGGTGATGGTGATAGTGGTTATGGTCGTGGGGGTGGGGCAGTGAGAGTGGGGGTTGGTAGGAGTAATGGTAGTGGTAGGATAGTGGCATCGATGGTGGTGGTTGTTGTGGTGGTGGGGCGGGTGGTGGTGATAATGGTACGATGGTGGGGTGGTGGTGGCGATGACAATTGTTGTGTTAGAAGTGGTTGTGAGGTGGTGGCGACGGTAGAGGTGGTGGTAGTGGCAATGGTGGTGGGGTGGGGGTGGCGATAGTGATGGTAATGATGATGGAGCGGCGGCGGCGGTGGTGGAGCAATTATAAACACTATTTTTTTTTGAAGTACTTAAGGAAGAGTTATAAGTCCTAAAAATATTTTTAAAAAACTATACCAAACACATCATTAGGGGCATATTTTTCCTATTAAATATGGAGTGGTCATCTCCAATCCTTACTCAAATTTTAAATTTGAGTAAAAAAGTATAAAAAACTTGCTGTAACTCTTGACTCAAATTTATATCAAATTAAGAAAACTCATTTTTTTACTCAAATCAAGAGGACTTAGATCTTTAATAGTGAGATTTCACATCTTTTAAAGATCCAATGATCATTATTACTCTCTTTTAAATTTGGGTCTTCCCTTCTTTAAATTTGAGTATGTCCATTAAAATCATTTGTATCAAATCAAATTTTTTAATCAAATGTTAATTTAAATTTGAGTAAAAATTTGAGTCATGGTTGGAGATATTACCCGTCAGATTAATTTTAAAATAAAATTTAAAGAGATCTTAATCGCGAAAAATAAAAAATATTTTATTTATTTTTTAAAATTTAAATTGTATTATATTTTATGAGAAATATTCTTCTCATTTTTTAATAAATAAAAGTAAACTCTGACCTCCTCTAATGAGGAAACGCAGAGAATCCAACGGCGTGGATTTCGTTCTCTGGATGATCCTACGGTTTGCCGTTTACACACACAACTACAATACTCTTTGAAATTACCAAAAAGGACAAAACTTCCTTCGATTTGCATAGAGCAGTTCAAAGCTGCCTTAACCTCTCATTTTTCATCTCTCTCTATCTCTCTCATACCCCGGCGTCGCCGTCGCCACCTCCGGCGATCTTACTCCATACTTCGTCGGATCTCCGACCCCTCTATCCCTATCTTCCCTTCCCTCTCCTCTCCCTTGATATATCATTTTATAACACAAAAGAAAAAAAAAAGAAGAAAATCATACAAAAAATACAAAATCTCTAGGGTTTGGGTTTCTTTACCTCAATCGTTTCAATTTTCAGTGTCGTTTCATGCTATCTAGGGTTTTGCTTTGGTATCTGAACTAAATAAGAAGAGGAGAGGGAAGAGATAGAAAAAAGAAAAAAAAACTGAATTATTATTGAAAAAGGTAAAATTAGGGTTTTGAAATTTGACTGAGATGGCACAGGTTCAAGTTCAGGTTCAGCCTCAGGCGATGAACTCTGGCGGGAACCAATTCGTGGCAACGTCGCTCTATGTCGGAGATCTTGACGTGAATGTGACCGATGCGCAGGTGTATGATCTGTTTAATCAATAGGTCAGGTGGTTTCTGTTCGAGTTTGCAGAGATTTGGCTAGCCAACGGTCACTCGGTTACGGTTATGTCAATTATAGCAATCCACAGGATGGTTAGTTGTTTACTTGGTCATTGATTTATTTTCGGTTGTTGGATTATCAATGTATCTTTAATATGTTGTTAGTCTAAGATTCTATTCTTGTGATCGAAGGAACTTGTATTAACTGGTAAGTAACTTTGAAACTGTCAACGAAGTATATTTAAGGAGTAAGGTAATTGATTGATTGAATGTGATGTCAGAACGTGAGAGCTAGAGATGGCTTCCTTAATGATAGAATTTATTCAACAGTCTTTTTGAAGTATTCCTTATTCAGATTCTTGTTCACATTAAGAATTTAAGTAGCTTGAAAGTATGCTTCCTGCATTGGATAGTTGGAATTTTGGATATGGAATGAAGTCTAATGAACTAAACTTACCCTCTGGTGTTTAAAGATATTCTCAGATGCTCTCCTAAATCATTTTTTTTAGTCTTTCAATGCAGTCCCATAAACAATCAATTCCTTTAGGATGAGTTTGATTGGTGGGAGAGGGAACGAAAAGGAAAAGTGTAACTGTCTTTCTTTTCCCAATTGTGCTTTTGGTTGTGCCCCCAATTATCATGTCCTGCATATTATGTAGGATTTTGCATTGTAGGAAACTTAAAGGATTACTTTACTGCACACTTATCTTGTAAATCAAACATGTTAGATAAATATTTTTCCGGGTAAAAAAATTGGTAAAAGTACAGGCCTTTAGGCTTTCATGCGGTGCAAGAAAGGATAAGATTATGGTACTGTAAGAAGGCAAGGGGAAGCAAAAGTTTGAAGGCTTTTCAGGTGCTATTAATAGTTATTGTGAACAATAGACTTTTGCTTGGTGGTGTCTAGGGTTGAGTTTTATGGAAGGAAATAATTGGGTCAGGTGACTATGATTCCATAGGTGATTCCATAGGATTGGAAAATGTTGGTTTCAAATCTTTTTGTAGGTGTAAAGTCAAAAGTTGTTATAGAACTGCATTTGTAGTAGTAGTAGTAGAAAGAACTCAAAGAAGAAAAGAAATCGTTCTTTAATCTTGCAATGGTTGTGCAAGTCACTCACCATAATAGCTAAAATACCCTCAACTTTTTAAATCTTATTATGATTTTAATAAAGATATATCAATTAGAGATCGAAGAGGGATTGAATGAGTTTAAATTTAATAATTGAATTTATTATTTGTTTTAGTTATGAAATATTTGTTTGACTAGGAGTATTAACTAGAGTTTGACTAACAAATTATTATAGAGTTTTAGTAGGATAGGGTTTGAGAGTTTGATTATAAAATTCTTTTAGAATTTTAGTAAGAGAATAATTTTTATTTTGGTAGGGAACTTGACCTATAAATAATGGTGTAATCCCAACTATTTTTATTAGAGAGAGTGATATAATAAAAAGTGATTTTTCGTGGAGAATTTTTGTGTTTCTTCACCGATTTCTTGCGAGGATGAGGTAAAACCCTTCCACTCCTTTTCTTTCTTCTTTTCTTTTTATTCTGTATCTTCCCGTCCTACATAAGTTTGGTATTAGAGTCCAACTTCGATCATTCTTGATTGTCGTTGTGTTTCTAGAGATCCGTCATCTTCTTGATTTTTTGCAGCTAACATAGTTAGGAAAAAAAAAATCCAGCTCCAACCCCAATTTCATCAATTCTGTAAGAGGTAAATTCTTCTGAATCAGCATTATATTCAGATTTATTTCTCTTATTTGAATAGAGGATATAGTAATTTTTCTCAGGTTTTTCAGTTTAAGCTGGAGACAATATACCTTAATATTATTGATCATTCTTTGATTCAAAGTATCATCCCATCTCAATTGCAAAGGCAAATACTGTTTCAAGAAGAAATTTAGTTCTGTTTCTGCGTTGCTCTTGTATTGTTTTTACCCATCCAGCTGACCTTGCAAAAAAATTCACCGTCCAACCCAATCTTTGAAATTACACAAACATCCTTAAACCTTTATAAAATTACATATTTGACCCCTAAAATTTTTGAAATTACTCTTTGACCCCACAAGTTTCTAAAATTATAGTTTTACCTCCAAAAATTTCTAAAATTTCAGCCTTATCCCAAAAGTTTCTGAAAATACAGATTGACCCAAAATTTTCAAAATTTCTCAAAACTCTCTTCCATCAATATGGTCTCTAACGCTGAGGTAAGTGTTAAAGTAAAGGCTTTATCCCAAGCATATGATAATTCACAAAAGACCATGAATGCTAGACTAGATACAATTCAAGCATCTATCGATTCACTGAGAGAACTTGTGCTCGTTACAGTTTGTGAAACCAAAATAAGTGAAGATTTAAAATTTTTCTCTTCAACTATCAATCAAAAAATGGTTGAACACAACCCTCCAGTTATACCACAAGTTCCACCACTACAGGTTCCAATCCGATTGAATGACAATAAACCAAAGGTATTTAATATTGATGAGCCCAAAAGTTCTATTTCTACTCATCCTACAACAATTGCTTTAGATAAGTCGATTGCAAATGGTGTTCCTACAGGTGAAGTTAAGAAAGTTTCAAACGTGATTTTTTTAGATGGGGTTGTTACTTTTTCGTTAACATCATCACCATTATTTTATCTGGAACAAAGTGTGAAGGTTATGAAGATTCGAGGTATAGATTCCTCCCATTGTGATATCATATATTATGTTATTGAAGAGAAATCTTACTTCTATGCTATCGGGTGTGAAGATATGTTTCACTATCTGATGTCAATTCTCTTGGAGTATCCTTGCTACAACAACTCTTCGGAGAAGATTTTTTTCCAATCGAGGAGAATTGATAGCGATCGAAAAGGGATTGAATGAGTTTAAATTTAAGAATTGAATTTTTTTTATTTGTTTTAGTATTATTTTATTAGTTAGGAAATATATGTTTGACTAGGAGTATTAATTAGAGTTTCACTAGGAAATTATTATAGAGTTTTAGTAGGATAGAGATTTAAAAGTTTGATTATGAAACTCTTTTAGAATTTTAGTAGGAGAATAGGTTTTTTTTGGTAGGGAACTTGACCTATAAATAATGGTGGAATCCAAACTATTTTTATTGGAGAGAGTGATATAATAAAAAATGATTTTCCGTGAAGAATTTGTGTGTTTTTTCACCGATTCTTTTCGAGAATGAGGTAAACCCCTTCTACCCCTCTTATTTCTTCTTCTCTTTCTATTCTGTAATTTCTAGTCCTTCCTGTCCTACATCACAATCCCTTATATCTATTAATTATTTTTTTTGGAAAATTTAATTAAATTATAAAAATTTTATGTATTAACGAATAGTTTTCTAACAAAAAGTTAAATACGTAAACAAGGAATAAATATATCAGAATTCAGAAGAATGAGGGGCACTTAATGTATAGATTCACGGGAAAAGCACTTGTTGAATCTAAATAAAAAAGGGAAATTATCCAAAAATAAATTATTCAAAGTCTTTGTACGACCCACGATCACAAAATTCTGGTTCCATGCTACATTTTCTGAAGAACTAACCAAGGTATTTGAGCTTGACCCTTGGTTTTATGTGTAAGTATTCAATCAAAGTTTGGCACGTGGGAAAAAGAGCCAAGCTTCAGCATATGATAAAGCTGATTAAACTATCGCGTCTGATTCAAACATGCTTCCAGGGCCGGCCCTATAGGTTAAAAATAAAAGCAGGGGCTTTAGGCCTCACATACGAAAAAGGCCCAAAATTTAAAAATTAATAATATAATATAAGTTATAAAATAAAATTTACTATAATATTGCCTAAAAAATTAATTTTTGAAAGAGTAATCCAACACAAAAATTAAAAATTTGGGCCTAAAAGTTTAGACCTCATCACACAATCACATTTATTAAAGGACAAAAAATACTGACAAAATCTATCTCTTTGTTCAATCGAAAGAAGTGTAATAAACATCTCTCTTTAGTCACAAAAAAAAAAAAATCAAAACTAAACACATTATTTACTTCCCTTAAACGTGTTTTTTTTTTCCTCATTTGAACGCAAAATACCAATTAAACCATTCATTCTCATTAAAAAAAAATGTTTTGATAAAGTTTTTATTCGTAACAAATAAAATATAACAAAAATGAAGAATTTAATTTTATTCCTATAAATATAAATGATCAAATGTCATATTATTAATTAAAAAAATATATTAGCAAAATTTAAATAAAAAAATTAGTAATTTCAAATCTCATCAAAAAATAAAAATAATAGATTTTAAATTAAAAAATTAAATTATTATTAACTGTCATTGTTTTAGGCCTCAAATCTTGTTGAGCCACCCCTGCATGCTTCATTAACCGTTAAGCATCATATATGATATAAAAGGCAAGCTACTTAGGTTCGGCTTATGATCGGCCTAGTCAAATGCTTGCTTTAGATCCAACCATGAGATAAACCAAGGTTGAGCTTCTTTTTAGTTAGAGCTTCTCCGCAGGATAGCATGGTAAGCTAATTTTCCAATCCATTTTAATTTGTTGTTATGTGTAATGGGCTGGCCATAACGACAAGGTTGAGGGCGGGCCTTAGTGCAACACTAAGGTTGTTCCATCATGACTTGAACATCACTAGTTTGAGTCATATAAACAGTCTATCCACAGACAAGGTAAGACTGTGTACAACCAACTCTTTGTATATCCGCAGTGGTGAGTCTCATGAACAAGACCCCCCCTCCCCATTTTTTTGTTATGTGTGATGGCCAAAAATTGTGTTTGTTTGCACCATGTTAGCATTATGTGCATCAGGAACATGCTGTTGTTATCTATTTGTTACATAAAATGCCCTTTTGTTTTTCTCTGCAAATTTTGCCCTTTTGTTTGTTGTACCTTACATCTCCGGTTTGTATTTTTGACAGCTGCGAGGGCATTGGAGTTGCTGAACTTCACTCCTCTCAATGGGAAGCCCATTAGGATAATGTACTCTCATCGGGACCCTAGTATACGCAAAAGTGGGGCTGGAAACATATTCATTAAGGTATTTTACTTTTTCTGGTTCATATGACAAGGCTCTAAGCAGTTTTTTTTAGTTCTTAATTTTTTAATTTTTGTTCTTATTTTGTTAGTTTTCTTGAGGATCTTATTGAGTCTCATTTGTTTGGATTGATAGAATTTGGACAAGGCAATTGACCATAAAGCACTACATGACACCTTTTCTGCATTTGGGAACATTCTTTCCTGCAAGGTATCTACTGACAACTCTGGTCAGTCAAAGGGCTATGGGTTTGTTCAATATGATAGTGAGGAAGCAGCCCAACAAGCTATTGAGAAGCTGAATGGCATGCTATTGAATGATAAGCAAGTATATGTGGGACCCTTCCTTCGCAAGCAAGAAAGAGAATTGGATGTTGAAAAGACGAGCTTTACTAATGTCTATGTGAAGAATCTGTCTGAATTAACAACAGAAGAAGATCTAAGTAAAATATTCAGTGAATTTGGAAAAATCACTAGTGTTGCAGTGATGAGAGATGGGAATGGAATCTCAAAATGTTTTGGATTTGTCAATTTTGAGAATGCAGAGGATGCTATTAGATCTGTTGAGGCTCTTAATGGAAAAATAATTGACAATAAGGAGTGGTATGTAGGGAAAGCCCAAAAGAAATCAGAGAGAGAACATGAACTGAAACTTCGATTTGAACGAAGTGTGAATGAGCCAGTTGACAAATCTCAAGGGGTGAACCTATACATCAAAAATTTGGATGATAGCATTGATGATGATAAGCTTAAGGAACTTTTCTCTCCATTTGGTACGATAACTTCATGCAAGGTTTGTGATGTCTATTTCTCTAATTGGAAAGCACCTTTATGTTCAGATATTTTAGTTAACTGGTGTTTACTAAAGTACATTTTTTCATCTGAAAGGTCATGCGAGACACTAATGGAATAAGTAGGGGTTCAGGGTTTGTTGCATTTTCATCCCCTGATGAGGCTTCTAGAGCTGTAAGTTTATATGTTGCATGCATTAATTGAAACTTTATCATATGGTAATTTTTTATTTCTTGTTTTGGTAGCTTCTGGAGATGAACGGCAGGATGATTGTTAGCAAACCTCTTTATGTTGCTCTTGCACAACGAAAAGAAGAGAGAAGAGCAAGGTTGCAGGTATTTTCTAGATGCTTGTCCAGCTTTTAACAAACTGTAGAGAGTCATCAGAGGTGCCAGAAGGACGGAGAAGCTTAATTTAGTAGTTACTGGATGTTGACTAGATACTGCAGCTTTCTTTTTGCACAAGCTTCCTAGCATTTTTTGAAGGAAAAACTGAATTTATCTTCGTGTTTGTGGATTTAGAAAGATGCTACTCAGATTGATGACATATAGAACTTTTAAGTGTTTTCTTGCATCAAATTCTTCTTTGTTTTGTGAGTATTATGGTATCATGCATGTGTCTTGTGAAGAAAAGCATGGTTGGTTAAAAATGGTGATTTTTGTTGCTTACACAGGCACAATTTTCTCAAATGCGTCCAATTGCAATGGCACCTGCAATTGCTCCTCGTATGCCGATGTTCTATGGTCAAGCACCTCCTGCTATGATACCTCCCCAAGTAATCTTATTTTTCATATAGTTCTGATTATTTGATTATGTTGTCTGTTGTTCTTGTGTAGGAGTTCCATATTCTGAGACCAACCCACAGTAACCCAATTTATGCTCATTCAGTGAGATTAATCCATTTCAAAACAGCTGTGGTAACAAAGGTTTCTTGTTGATTCTTGTTGCTTGGAGTATGTTAAAGGCCCGGCAATTTTTTTGTCTTTTGAGTGTGCAAAAAAGTTCAAAAAATATACATTATTTTTTCCTCCCACACTTCCCAAAAACAATGGAGTCGTTTATTCTTAATTAAATCTTCTAGAATTCAGCAGCAATGTCAAGCATTATAACCTTGGAGTAGAATTGTGCATAATCTTTGTTGGATGTACTAAGGGGGTTGATCTTGGGATCACTGCATTCATTGTTTACTGGAATTTCTGAGAGTGGATCAATTCTAGGGATGTTCAAAGTATTGATCAGGGTCGGAAAAAGTCAGCCCACTTGTCTTGACTTTGTTTGCAGTTCACAAGCTTGCATGTAGTCTTATGATGTACCACAACATGATATAGCTGTATAATGAATCATGCGGCTAGTTGGGTCAGGTCTACGACCTCTGGTAATGTGTCTCACTGTCTCATTTGTTATTCACAATATCCCTTGGGAGATGTCTGGTCATAAATGGGTTTTTTGACCAGCAATTCCCATCCCTCTCTCTCTCTCTCTCTCCTAGTGGTCGAGTTTTCATAAGCTGAGAAAAGAAACATGCTGAGAACAGAAACATGCTCTTATGTACGTTTAGAGGATATCAGGAAAGTAAGTGTTGTGCTTTTGAGCGTTATATCTGAGGCATATCTGCATATCTCCTGATGCCAATCCGCACTTGAGTTATCATGGGACCACCTGTATCTGTGACCAATACCATAATGTTGGAACCAAGATTCTATGGGCGGTGCTTTTGGGTGATGTTAAGAATGCTTAAAAGAGGAAAAGCAGTGCGAGAATATAATGAGAATGTCCTAATAAATGTTTCCCTGCTCTTTTGTTATTTATACAAAAGTTTTGACATCAGAGTCATGCCATAATGAGTTAAGAATAATGTTGATCTTAATAAAGTACAACCCTTAGCATTTCCCCTTTCGCATGGGCCAATGTGGCGCTGATTGCCTGTGTGTCCCTTCCCCCCACCACCCAACAATACTATGTATGGCACTTTGTGAAGTTTCCTCTTAATTTTTTAATGGCCGTGTGAGGCGGTCTCAAAGACTGTCTTTAGAGGTCAGCCTAGATTATAACCCTTCCTATGGTTTTGGGTATGTCCTTGGGTTTTTTATCAACCTTTTAGGTTTTATTGACATTGCCTGTGACATTACTTGTTTGTGATGCATGGATCAATTTGAGTTTCTAAATTAGTCAGAGAGAGATGTCCATCCCCCATAGGTCGAATATTTGACCCTACTAGTCTCTAATCGATGGCTGGGCCTAGTTGTGCTTTTGGATATAGGAAAACTGTCCACACTTTCCAGTTCTACTGATTTGCTCCCAAAAAGAGGGTAAAAAAAAAAAAGTCTCGCCAATTAATAGGTCCTCTTCTGCCTAACATTGATCCCCATAGAGATTCAAGCTGCAAAAGACTCCATGCTAGTATATGTTTATGTTTTTTATCAGCTCCCATTAAGATGTGCTGTCAAACCTCAAATCCTTGTAGTTTGCTCAGTACTCCACGATGGTTGGTGGGTGGGGTTGGGGTTGGGGGGGATATGCCAGATGAAGTTCACTGTGCACGTGCATTCGTCAGCTATTGATCGTGTAATGTTGAAGGAAAAAATGCCGCATAAGATGCTTGTTCAAACTTTGTAATCGAATGATGAAAAATTGAAAGCATCAATATCTATGTTTTTCAAGTTGTACAATTACTCAGATGGTATCACCATGCCCATGTAGAGGATTCATAATTCACTTATTTAACCATATCCTTACATGTTTAATCCTTTATATCTGAACTAGCAAGTATGGACATTGCCTTTTACCCAGTTACACACCAGGATAACCACTCATTTGGATCGCAATCTACATATATTAAAGAGATAAAGTTGCTCTTAGTTATGGAAGCACGCTTTTCCTGAGCTTTCAGATACATTGTGGCATTCCTCTTCAATGCATTACAAGTTCTTTTTTTCATATAATCCCTGTCTTGAGAGGGTTTTGTTTAGAATGCAGGCACTATTTTATAGTTAAATACATTGGTTACATACTTGTTTGTTTGGGTATACTTGTCAGCCTGGTTTTGGGTATCAGCAGCAACTTGTTCCTGGTATGAGGCCTGCTGGTGCTCCCATGCCAAATTTCTTTATGCCACTGGTTCAACAGGGGCATCCTGGTGGCAGACGTGCAGGAGCTGTTCCAACACAGCAGAGCCAACAGCCAGTTCCACTAATACAGCAGCAGGTTGATGGACTCCTGCACATTTTCTCTTCCCATTGTTCAACTTTGTTCATTGTCGTTACATTCTGTTTGACGGCTTTTTTAAATGGCAGTTGCTTCCTAGGGGGCGTGGATATCGTTATCCTCGAGGGCGCGGCATGCCTGATGTCTCCATGCCAAGCATAGGTGGAGGCATGCTTTCTGTTCCATATGATATGGGTGGCGTGCAGTTGCGTGATGCAAGAATGCCTCAACCAATTCCTATTGGAGCTTTGGCTTCTGCCCTTGCAAATGCTACTGCTGCAGAGCAAAGGATGGTAGGACTTCTCGTTGATTCATTTATTCTTTTATGTATGGGGCAGTGGAGTAGGCAGTGGGAGTTCTATAGCTTATACTATTTAATTTTGAGCATATTGTCTACAATCAGGTTGACTTTGTAGACCTTTCCATGATAAATATTATGAGAAATGCTAGGGTCTCCAAATTTTAGAACTAAATTTGTAGCTCAAATGATGTGGCAAACCCACACAACCAATTAGGTATTTTTGGGGCCCCCTTTATTTGTGGAGTGAGAGGTTGCCACATATTTGGTCCCAAATTTTAGTAAGATTAGCAGTGTTGCAATATCAAAGTCCCCAGGGGGCCGGTGGCAAGAAAAGTGAAAGAAAGGTTTTGTGTCACTCAGTTTATGAATATTTAATATCTGGTGGCATAATTGGTTGCTCCTTGTTCTTAAAGTAATAGACACCAACCATTATATTGGTTGAGATCTTAATAGCAAGTGCTAGAAATTTGTGATAATGATGTACATAATAATGACGATTTTGAGGATGATTTATTGGTAATCTATTTGGTGTGCAGATGCTTGGTGAAAATTTGTACCCACTTGTGGAACAGCTTGAACCTGATATGGCAGCTAAGATAACTGGCATGCTTCTAGAGATGGATCAGACTGAGGTTTTGCACTTGCTTGAGTCGCCAGAAGCTCTGAAAGCAAAAGTTGCGGAGGCGTTGGACGTCCTGAGGAATGTTTCACAGCAGCAGGCTGGCAGCCCTGCTGATCAACTGGCCTCGCTCTCATTGAATGATGGCATTATTTCTTAAAATGGTGGTATATGTTCCCTTGAGTGCTTTTTCAAACGTAAGGCGTGGCCTTGATGAATTTAGAGTTTTTTGGTGGGGAATTTACTGGTTTTGTCAATACCATCTGAACTAGTCTGCTTTGTGTGTTGTTATGAACGCCAAGATATTTATGCATTTGTGCTTTGCAAACATTTTCGTTTTTTGTTCTGTGGGCATGGAGCCTCATGGTAGTTTACCAACACTTCTACCTTGTAGGAACTTACTGTTTCTATGAATTCTCAACTTTATATTAGGGCAGCCTGGTATATAAAACTCTCGCCACTTCTAGGTTTAAGGAGGATCAAATATATGAAATTTAAGACTATTTTTTGTGACGTAAACCCATGACATACAAACAATTTCCCATTTAAAGTGGTAAATGTAACGACTTGTTCATGAATAACTCATAATTTGGTTAGATAAAAGCTTGTTCAAGTTTTGGTAATTTATCAAATGAACCAAGCTTAAGCTGGGTTTTAAAATTTTATTTAATTAGCTAGCCATACCCGAGCAATGTTTAGCTCTCACACACAACAATTGAGTTTGATTGTGAACCTTGACTTATGTTTAAGATTGTATGCAAGGTCGAGCATGATCCATTTCATGGTCAAGCCGAGCTTGGGTTTTTCAAAAACAAAAGGTTAATGACTCGAACAGATGTTAGTAAAAATTAGATGTCAGTACATTCTACATGTTTTATAGTAACAAAATACAAGTTTAAATCTTTTAATGTTTTACGGATAATTCTAGGAAACTTTTATGTTAACCAGTACAAACAAAAATTTAATTTTTTTATTTATATTTTTTCTTCTCAAGAGTTAACGCAAGTCAACTACATCATTCACCTTCATAAAAAAACAAAAAACAAAACTATACCATTCACAAGTTCCATGGAAGAGCACGAACCAGCCCTGGAAACGGAAATGGCTTTGGCCCTTATTGCAGTGGTCCGACCTCCACATCTTCAATCTCAAGTAATAATCTCTCTCTCTGCGTCTTCAATCTCGAGTAATCTCACAAAAGAACTCCGATCATTGTCCTCATGCGCCGTCGTCATCGACTAGAGATAAGACCAAGCAGCATGCCGAAACTTCAAATAATAAGATGAAACCATGCGAGACAACTTACGGAGATTGCTCGCCCTTCCTCAGATACATGACCGAAGTCAGAGCTAACCCAGAACCATAGCCATAGGACCTGCGCAATGAGCAATATACAGCAAATCGACTAAAAGCATTCAGACAATAGATATAGAACAAAACAGCAACAAACTACAAATAAGCACTATATAAACAGTAAGTCTAGAAACAGGAACAAACATTAGAGGCAACCCACCAACTACCCATGACCAGTCCAGAATCCAATCCTTCTGGGGACATTCCACTTCTACTGTATTGACTAACAAATATGTCATGTTAACCTTTCATCAACACATGTTAAACGATCATGGTCCATGAATTATTGATCAACAACTACTTCCACGACATTCTAAAATGGTAATAAGTGCCAACTGCCAACGCAATGGACGTTAAACAGTCGAAACTAAGACAATATAAAGAGAGATTGATTTTAAACCTTCAATTGACCCTATTAGCAGCACTTATTCCATTGTTTCATATGACAATGTGTCGGAATAATATTCACAAACTAAAATATTACCAAATAATGTAGTATTAAGGACACCCTGAAGGGTGTGCAAACTGTTTGAAACATCTACAAATTGACTTCTGAGTGTTAGCAGCCTTAAAAGAGACCAAAACTGGCTGTGAGGTCCATATCATAGATTAGGCATTGTGTCGGCTAAAGCCCCAGACCTATCCCTACCAGCTTCCCTATCATGTCGGATAATAGCAGTGCCATGTGAATAAAGAACTTTGCATCTCTGAGGAAGTCTCAATAGTTGCCTCATTCTGCCTCTCTTGTGTCTTCCCCACAGTTATGAAGCCTATGACCAATCAAGTAGCGGTAGTCATAATTACGCAAAACCTACGCAGAGCAGATGTGGACTAATAAGAAAGTAACAAAGAAGAATACATAATTTGACAATTTCACTGTAATATTCAAACTTCAAAAGCAGAAGATATACCCCTTGCAGAAGGCTGGCAAAATTATTTATTTGGAGAATTAGCATATGAACAATTCCAACAACCCAATGAACCAACAAGCTTGCGAACGGAGACACTGAAAAGAACTCAAGTCCTTGTGCAATTGATTTGCCAAACATCCCCTTATGGTACAAGCATCCAGCCACCCTCCGCACATAAAAGGGAAAACAGCAAGTCGAATGACAAATAGGAAAGCAACCTTTATCCCAGTCATTAAATGTCTCATTGCTGCCAAGAACTTCCTGAAGAGAGAAGGAATTGTCTCCGCAATCAAGGCAATACCATAGAACCTGCCCATAGTAAAAGGCTCACCTTCAGAGTACCGAACAATTGCAAGGTAGAAAAAACTAGAGAGAATACGATTATGTAGCCGACAGCCAGGGTACTGACATCAGAAAGCTGTGATGTCCCAATCGATTCCCCTTTCGGGAGATCAGCTGAAATTGGTGTACCAAGAAAGTCCAATCCTTCATTCAATTCACTAACATTTACTTGGAACATGCTTATAACTTGGTTTGCCAAAAAGTGTTTTTGGTTACCTGACGTCAAATTGACAACCATGATTAATGCTTTCTTCAATGAAATATCGGCTACGAAAAGGGCTGGCTCTGTTAGTGGTAACTCTTGACAACAATGGATTAGTAGCAGTCAACAAAAGCCATGTTGAATAATAGGTTATAATCCGTCCCAGGTAAAAGGGAACGAAGATTAGAACACCGCAGGTTATCGTATTTGTTACAAGAACCTGCATTAAACCAAATCGAAAATTCTCAATAATTAACAACCTTGTAGTTTATTTTTTTGGGGCACAGAGGAATATTTTCTCTAAAGAATTCTGGTGATGTGTTATCAAACAACTGTAATGAGATGTACATATTGAAGACTAAATAAAGATGGAAATAAATGAATTTAAGCAAAATCCCCAAGTCCTCTCTTCCTCTTAAAAAGATAGCAAACGTTCCTGCACTCCACAGGGAAAGCAGCGGGAGATCGTCATTCAAGGCCAAGTGCCGCACTCCACCTCCTCCATTAATAGAAGCATGATCTGATCTACAATAAATACGGAGTACGCTAGATTGTAAAGTGATAATGTATCATGGGACCAAGTAAAGGTAAAGAATCATAGATCACATCCCATCAACCAATGCTTGTAGGCTGGATCGGGTTTGGACCTGATTTAGGTCAATCCGATTCTGTTTAGAAAATTAAAGTCCGAATTTGAACCATATATCCAACGGCTATTGAAATCCTAATCCAAATTCGGTTCCATTTCAAAACGAACACCCAATCCGATAATCTAGTCTGATCCGATGGAAACATAACTCACCCAAAAAATTACAATCAGAATACTAATTGAATTTCAACACAAATTTTAATCAACAGTTTTCACCAAATTCCAGCTATGTTTTAACCTAACAGCACTAATCATTCAATTTCATCTCAATCATATAAAAAAACCAGAGCTCATTGAACAGAAAAAAATGGAAAAAAAAAAAAAGAAAAAGAAAAAAAGGAATTGGACCTTACGTGAGTAGCCGCAAATCAAGTCTCCACTTCTTCAACCCATATGGATCACAAACTTATTTTATTCAAACTTTGAGCCCATTATAGGTTGAATTGAACCCTAAAATATTAGGGCTTCGATTGTCCATGAATTTCAACACATTTTTCCGTTGATTTTCACCGATAAAATAACGAATCCTTGAATTTTCCCATGAATTGAAAGTCAAAACAGTTTATTTTGTCGACTATGAAGAGAGAGGAAGAGTTGGAGTCAAGAACAGAAGCAAGAGGGAAAAGCATTGGAAAGAGGAGAAGAATAAAGAACAAAAACGATAGAAATAGTAATGGAGTAGAATAAAAAGTAAAGAGGGAGAGGGGTAGAGCAAACATGAGAGAGAAAAAAGAAATGGGGAGAAATCAATGGGTAAAGAAAACAAAGGTGGGGACGGCAGGGAGCGGAGGCGGGGCTGAGAGCGGGAGTCGAGAGATCTAAATGGATATATTCAGAAAAATAAAAAACCTAGCTGTAAGATATATTTGGATCGGACTAGCACATATCCATATCCAGATTCGATCCAAGAGATCTAAACGGATTCGGATCGGAATCGGGTAAACGGAATAAACTTTTAGTCCATATCCGACTAAACGGATTCGGACTCAGATCCGATTCAAATTGAAAACCAATCTATTGACAAGCATACTTGTAGCATATGATGCAGAAACATAGGCAGTGGTTATGAATGTGACAGTATGGGCATGTCAACATGACAAATCTTTAGTAGGACATGAACACGTCTAGTTCACTTTTCAACAAGAGAGGTGGTGTGTGTGAGAGATAGAGAGAGAAAGAAGCAGATGTTGGGGGTGGGTTACGCAGAGGGAGTAGGGGTGGGGGGTTTGTGCAGAAATTGGAGTGCTTGGGGTGGGGGTTGTCCATGTGTGAGTGAGAGATAGAGGGGGAGAAGCAGAGAAGAGGGATACTTGGGAGGGATGTGGCAGTGGCAGTGCTGCTAGCGATGGTGGTGACATTGGAGATGGCGTAACAGAGAGAGAGAGCGCGAAAGGGAGGCTGAGAGACGGCAAGCCTCTGTCAGTGAATGACGGTGAGAAAAGATTGGATGTGATGGTTTTGAGGGGAAAAATATGTATGGGATAAAATTTTAAGTTGCTAACTGATTTATTATGTGGATAAGGATAACCCGTGTGCCTGAAGTCACGGTGCAATTCAAAAAAACTCGAGCACTAAATTTGAGCACGAAATAATCAAGCACTGAATTCAAATGTGTACTAAGTTGAAAGCCAAAACTGCATCCTTTAACACGACAACACTTTCCATAAATCAATATCATGATTTACCAAGCTCCTTTTTGCTTCATATTAAAGAAAAATTGAAATCAGTGTAGGAAATTTTAATATTTTCAACAAAATATCCCATAAAAATATGACATTACAAATATATCAACCTATCTATAAAAATTTATAATCATACCAACTACCACAACAACATAACAGTATCCATATTGGCTAAACACAAATTTCACTAATTGAGCAAGAAAATAATGATAATTAAAGTCATCGCACATATATGAAAGTTTTAAGATTTCATCATTGCAAACCACATAGATTCTCATAAACTATACCAAACAAACTCTTCCAATCCAATCTCACCAATCCAAACAAACTCACTTAGAGTGTCATAAACCCTACTAATTTAATTTTCCCTCATTCTATTCTCACCAATCTAATTATCATCCAATCCAACAATTGCAAGCAGTGAAACCAATCATGCCAAACATTAAAGATTAGTTGAAGTCATTACGCTTTTAATCATTTAGAAACTAATCTTAAGAAACAAAACTCTCATCAAATCAAACCTACTTACAAAACCGAGTTCAAATTAGTAACTCTAGCAAATTAACAAAAATATAGAAAAAAAATAGCACAACCAACTCTTTGTAGCCCACCATTGTCAAAAATAACCTCACAACCCTCCTCACAACACAACCACCAAGATAACAAAAACAATATAGCAAAATCCACTCATAAAATTCCCTATTCAAGCACAAAAAATTCCATAATCATAATTCCAATCAGTAAAATTGTAGCAAAATTCAACACTAATTATATAGGTAATTAAAACAATCGCTTAAAAGACAACTACAATGAATTCATAAAATTATAACTATATTTCAACCAACACTGCAACTCCCAGTAAACTAATTCATAAATTGACATAATAAATGTTCAAAATCAAAAACCCATTGCACAATCCATGGCGTCAACTATAAAAATTTAATCATCTATTGCACAATCCAAAAAATAAATAAGCATCAACTACCAATCCAATAAACAAATAAAATTTTATTATCAGTAGCATACATGAAATTAAACAAAGTGAAAGAATAAATTAAAACAAACCAAAAAAAAAGGAATAAATTAAAACCAAGGAACATAATCCAATGAATATCATAAGAATAGTTATCTATCAAAGACCGGCATAATTCAACCCACTAAATGGGAATACAGTGAATTCATATCAATCAAACAAAAAATCAATGGTATAGTATACAATATTTCTCTCAAACATTTCAACAAACACTCGGTGTGGAGTATGTATAAGCAACAAATTAAGACCAAATGCAATTATTTTCCCAAAATTTGACACCAAATATGTGGGGTGTGTGTTTTGCGTATGTGTGGTGGGGGGGGTAGTGTTTTGAAAAACGCGCCTAGGCGAGAAGTGAGACGAAGCGAAGGCCTCTCGCCTTGAGGACACCAGGCGAAGCGAAGATGGTTGAAACGAGAAAAAAGCGAGCGCTTTTCACTTAAGCAAAAGGCGAAAAAGCGAACGCCTTAGTCATGCGAGGCGAAATAGTTTTTTATTTTTACTGTGCACCATTGGATTGTTTTATTTTTATTGTGGATCGTCGGATTAGGGCAATTGAAAAAATAAATTATAAGATGTCAATACACCTAATTATCCCCTTATCCCATAAATAGAAAACTCAACCCTAATTTTTAGATCAACCATCGATGCTGCTCTGCTTTCCCGACGATCGCTGCTACTGCTCCTTCCCAGTCATCGTTACTGCTGCTCCTCCTTACCAGGCGACCGATAGTGCAGATCTTCCCAGTCGATTGCTGCTGCTGCTCCTCCTTCCCAGATGATCGATAGTGCTAATTTTCCCAGTTGATCGTTGTTGCTCCTCCTGCAGGTTTGTCTACTCTTTTTTCTTTTCTCTTTTGTATCTCTTTTTCCTCTCTGCTTCTTTTTTTTTGGCTTCTGTTTTTCTTCTTCTTCTTCTTTCTGTCTGCTGCTTCTTTCTGTGCTACTGCTTCTTTTTTCTGCTGTGCTGCTGCTTCTTTTTTTTTCTAATTTTTTTGCTTCTGTTTTTTTTCTTCTTTCTAGTGCTACTGCTACTTTTTTTTTTCTTTTTTTTTGCTTCTGTTTTTTTTCTTTCTGGTGCTACTGCTCCTTCCCAGACATTCTGATGGATTTTCTTTTTAATTCTGTTTTTTTTTTTTGCTTTCTGTTTTTTTTTCTTCTTCTTTGATAATGAATGATGTTGTTTCTTTAATATTTATATATAACTGATTTTAATAATACTGCTACTTCTTCTGAATTTTGTAATGCATAGTACTGAGTTTTGTTGAATGCTGAATTCTGTAATACTGATTTTTGCTGAATGCTAAATGCTGATTTTTGCTGAATGTTGTAATGCATAGTGCTGATTTTTACAGAATGTTGTAATGCATAGTGCTAATTTTTGCTTCTCAGTGTTTGTTTTAATTTAAATGTTTATGGTTTTACTTGCTTTTAAATATTTAGTATATATAAAATTGAACTTAGATGTGTATAAGTAATTAAACTAAAATATTTACCTTTTTTTTTAATTGTTCGTTTCGCTTCGCTTCTCCCTTCTCGTCTAGGCGTTAGGAGTCTTAGTCGCTTCGGTTCGTTTTACGCCTTAAATAACACTTGGGGGGGAAAGCAGAAAGGATAGAGAAAGGAGTGGGGCAGAGGGTTTAGGACTGCCAATGGGCTAATGAACAAAAAAACAAATAGTTGGAGTGCACTAAACTTAACCACTAAAATGGGTATGTGATGTGTGAATGTATGGGGGGTGTTCTGTGTTGTGTGTGTGAGTTGGGGGTGTTGTGCTCAGAGAAATGGATTGTGTGTGTGGGTGAAATATAGAGAGTTTGGGGAAGGGGTGTGCTTTAGTGGATGTGTGTTCCATCAAAAAATAGATTTCGGGAGAAGGGTGTTTCGGTGGGTGGGTGTGAAATACAAAGGGTGTGTGTTGGGGGCGGTAAGAAACAGAGGGTTTGGGGAGCGGGGTGCGTAGAGATGAGGAAGAAAGAGGAAGGGAGGGGAGGAAAGGGTGGGGGATTTGTGTGTAGCAGAGTAGCAGAGAAATACCAAAGATAGTGACGGTGGCAATAGCGCTCGCCCTGTGGCATTGAGGCCGATGGAGCCGAATTGTGGCATCATTGAAGTCGACGAGGTGTGGCATTAGGGAGTGACATGAGAGAGAAGATACTGAGATGAGAGTGAAGAGGTGAGAGAGAGAAAAGAGAAAAATGGGAGCGAAAAGAGCTCCGCGAAACCGAACTGGCCACTGCTCTGTGTTTGGCAAAAAGATGATAGGGTTGAGTTGGGTTGGGTGGGGTTGGGTGGGGGGTAGGATAGGGTTGGGTTGGGTGGGGGTGAGGGATAGGGTGGGGTGAGGGGAGTTAAACCAGAGCCAAAGAAAAGGGGGTAAGGGGGTTGGATGTATTTTTTTTCTTGGGGGAATATGTATGGATAAAAATTCAACTTCTCACATGTTTTATTATATAGATACGCTTTATTTTTAATTTATTACAACTCTATTCTTATTTAAAAAATATATTATATTATTTTAATAGTCATATCTTTATCATACCTGTGCCCTATATTTTTTAACTTTGTCATATTCCCGTGTCTATATTATATCGGATATGACACTCGTGCCTGTATCAGTCCTTCATTAAACTAACATATAACCTAAAATAGTTTAAGATCTAAAGTAGCTTATAATGATACAATAAAATTAACTATAAACCACTAAAAACCTATATCTCAACAACTTTTGAGTCAAAACATGCATAAATTCATTTTTAGGGGAAGTTATGAATAGAAATTAAAAATTCACAACTCCTGTTTCCGTTACCATTACATAACACCCATTACATCATGCGTCCGTTACAACGTTACCGTTATTTAGAACTATTCTCTAACGGGTATACTAGGTCAATGAGGAAATGAGAATAGTGACTTAAACTATTAGGTGTAAGCGCTTTCCAATTGTGAAATTTTTTAGTTCTTCCTATTTTCTTTAGGTTCAATGTGAAAGAATCAAAAGTAGCTTATCTAATCCATATTACTCACATAAGAACTTCCAATAACCCACTCCCTCCTAAACAACCTCTCCCTCTTAAACAACCTTTTTCTTCGATTCCTCACTTCACTACAATGAAGGGTATTCTTTCTTTCTTCACATTTTTGACCAATCAAATGCTCTATTTTGTAACATGGACCAATTTAAAATCACATAACCTTTCTTCCAAAAGTGTCAATCACAAAATAAAATAATATTCTCTACGCTTGTAAGCATTCTTAAATAAGTCCAGTGATATCTAGCACCCGCTCAAACATCAGTAAATCCCCAATAGGCAATATCCTGCATTACTTATTCAATTCCCGTGTTTATAAACACTATCATCAACTTATCGTAATTTCAAATTTATTTACCAAAGTACTCTAGATTTTAAAAGTGTGAACCACACTTTTAATGATGAAGCATGGGTAGAAGATACACTTTTAAAGATTTATAATGGTCCAAAAACTTGTATACAAAACACAAATTTTAAAAATGTATGTTGTAATCGAGCCTTTTTACTTTGACAATCTATCTCTCTCACTATCTTCTCTATACCTCCCAATATTTACTATTTTGTCTCACACAGTCATATTTTCAGACACTCGAGACTTTTTTTTTGGCCAAAATTTGCTTAAAAAACATTACCTTCTTTTCCACTGTCGGGTCCTACTTGAAGCCTAATATTGTTGCCTATGCTCCTGAATGTCTCTGTTGAAAACACACAGGCAAGTGGGAGACGTGGTGTGGCCAACTTGGAAGACCTCCTTTGCGTTGGACATTCAGACTGCAATCCCAAATTAAACATACCATCTGAGGCCTTTCAAGTGCTTGTGAATTTTGACTTTTGAAGGAGTTCAATGCCTTCAGAGTTTTAAAGAAGTTTTGAATGCAATCAGTATGTAAGTTTAAAATACAATCAGTATATAAGTTTTAAAAAAATTGCAATTGGCTAATTACTCGCAATAGAAAAGAGCAATGCATTTAAAAAGTTGACTTAAAAACCAAACTTGATAATGTGACTGTTATATTTGTTATGATTTATCTGTTAGTCCCAATATTTATTGGGACCCAAGTCAAGTTCTTAAGTCTATTTAGCATTTTCCTATAAGTAATCCAATTAATTATATTGAACTAGCTCCACTACTCCACCCCAATATCCCCCAATCAATCCAATCATTCAAAATCAGCCGAATCAAATGACAATACACACACATGAGAGAGAGAGAGAGAGAGTAAATGAACCTCGCATCGACGATCGTTGGTGTGATTAAGCCACTGAAGAAGACATTCTTGATGAACAAACTTGACGCTTCCACTGCACGAGCAAGGAATCTATAAAGGATTGTCAGCGTCGCCGGGTTCCAACAAATCCGACACTCGTCCGCTTCATCATCATACTTGCTGGGCACGCTAGCATTACTTATATTATTCATCTCCTTTTCCGAAGGAGAAAAAGAGGAAGATTTCACGGAGGAGGACGATGTGCCGGTGGCGTCCCTCGCTTCGCCGGCGCCGTTCGACGCGGAGACCGCCGGTGCAATCTCCATAGTGGTTTATCCTCAACAGCACTATTCTCTCTCTTATGGTTTAAGGTATTGGGACCGAATGGGTTAATAGAAGGAGATTCTTCGGTTAGGAAAGGATGAATTCGTTGAAGACCGAAGATGTAACGGACAAATCCTTACCAGAAAGACGATGAACGGCTTTGTATTGTGACCGGCAATCGGTATGGATCAGAGAGAGATACATGTTTGAGTTCGTGCTTCACTGGTATGTGTAGCGAAGAAAACCCTAGGAGAGAAGAAATTCGAAGTTGAATTTGATTCAACTCTTCTCTTTCATTTAGGAAACTTTAAGTGGCGCTGTGGCGGTGAATTTGAAGGGTAGAAAGGGTAATTCACCAGGGGCTAAGTTTGTTTGGGGATAAGAGTGCTACAATATACGTCCTTCCTTGCGTACTATACTTATGGAATTCCATTTTCAATAAACGGCCTATCCTGACAGCATTTACCCTAAAGACCCGTACACGTTTTCTATAAATCGAGATAAGTAAGATGAGTTAAACTAAATACAAAATCGATTCGCCAAATAGGTGATGGGATTAAGAAAAATTTATTTTATATTTTGTTTGTTTAGCAGTTAGTATTTTTCAGATTGTAATATCGACCTAATTTAAACAATGTCCTTAATACCTTTTATATGGTATTAATGAATACCACATACTAAATGATATTATCTTCTTGGTAAAAATAAAAAAGACGGTATAAAAGAATAAAATGATATAAATGCACTCCTATGCGAAGAGTTCACATATAAAAAAATTGTTTTGAATTTTTTATCCTTATATTATGCTTTAGCATATGATATCATCGCTTTTTTTTTATTTTTTTTTTAAATTATTTTGAATTTTTTCTTGCATTATGTTTAAGCGTACGGTGTTAACGATTTTTTTTTAAAAAAAAATTATTTTGAATTTTTTTCTTTTATTATGTTAAAGCGTACGGTATCACCGATTTTTTAAATTTTATTTTCTTATATTATGTTTAAACATACGGTATTAACGCTTTTTTTTTAGTTTTTTTTTAATTATTTTGAATTTTTTTCTTGTATTATGTTTAAAAGTACAGTGTTACCGGTTTTTTTTTTTAAAAAAAAAATTTTAAAAATTATTTTAAAATTTTTCCTTGCATTATGTTTAAACGTACAATGTCACCGATTTTTTTTTTAATTTTTTTTTTAAATTATTTTGAATAGCATGGATGATATTAAAGATAAAATGATATATTCGTTATATAAGATGTGATAGAATAGATGGTTGTTTGTGAGACTCACTATAGTACCTATTGAATAAACAAATATGAGAAGGAATTAAAATATTTTTTATTAGCAATACTAATATCCATTGATATTGAAAATACCAAGTTTATATAATCCTCGAAACAAACATGCCCATTAGGACGGTTGTATAAGTCAGTAAAATCATACGTAGATACGTGACATTATATCATTAGTTAAAATTCATCAAATTTGACAGTGGTTCCATCAAAACTGTCAAACGGAATTGCCCCCATGGATCCATGAGCTAAAAAGTCGTGGAAAACTCGTAACCCATGGTTTATCCGAAACTCCGATGATCCATTGTCCAGCCCGTTACATGGTGGTCTCTGCTGACAATCAGAGCTTTAGTACACAGGATCATGACTTTTGGGCCATTAGACCCAACATTGGGCCCAATTTCCTCTTCAAGGAAATCATATTGAGAATACTCATTGAATGCGCAATTCAATTCAATAATTCTTAATAGTGATTTAGTGGTTGAATCATGTATTTGACAATTTAAAAATCTCAGGTTGAATCTTTTTTTACACCCCCTAAAGGCTAATCTCCCTTATTCCTTATAGACATGTTCTAAACTAGTTGAAGTCACGATAACAATCGTTGAATTCAAATAAACAATCAGTACAAACCTAAACATCTTATAATAAAAAAAAATGAACAATTCAATAGGAGAGCTCAAATTGAGTCGATATATTAATACCAAGTCAATCCAAGCTCTCAGAATTGAAAAAAGTTTAGTAACATATCATGAAACTTAAATAATCTTCAATTTAATAGGAATACAAAACAACCAATCCAATATGCTATAAAATCCGCCCCATTGAATGAATGGGGGAGTTTAAAATTGAAAAACAAGAAGATTGGGTAGGCCCAATCCCATGGATAGTCCTCTAATAATTCGTTTGATAGGGTGGATAGACAATGGAAGGATGAAAAGTGTAATTGATATACTTTTCATCCTTCGAAGGTAGAATTTTTTTTCTCTTTATTTGTGTTTGGTAAAAGGATAAAAAATAAAAAAAATTAATTTTTTTGTGTTTGGTAAGATAAAAAAAATATATATTTTTTATTAAAAAAATATTAAAAAATATATTTTACCATTATATCTATATATCAAATTAATATATGCATAATATGTAATTGATATATATCATATATATATCAAAGGATATATAGATAAATAACATATAGTTTAACACACATAATTAAATTTTTTACCAACTTTTTTTCTTAATTTTATAGGGATTGATTTTGGTGAGTTATAAGGAAAGCTAATTCATCTATTTTTCCATCTTTAATATTTTTTTTCGTTACCAAACACGATATTTTATTCGTTCCTTAACTTTTAATTATTCCATTTTTCGATTGCACCAAACAAAGGATAAATCTAAAAGATCATCAGTAATGTTAGACTGATCAAATTTTGGAACTAAATTTGAAGCTCAAATAATATGACAGTTAACTTGGGCTTCTTTGATTAGTGTTATGTCATTTGGGCCCCCAATAAATACTTTAAATAATCAACTGTCATATCATTTAGACTCTAAATTTAGTCTCAAATTTTAATCAATCTAGCATTACTCAAGAATAATTATAGGCAATATGACCACATATAACGTAAATAAAAATATATGCATCGCAGCGGTTTGATTCCTCCATAGGAAAAAGTGACAAAAAACTGCATTTTCAAACCCAACGTAGGCCAAGATGTTGCTTTAGGAAAAAGGGGGGGACATCATTATGCTGTTACAATTTATTTGGCTCTTTTGTTGAGTGAAAAAATCATATAGAATTATTTGACTCCATGTTTTATGGACTTACTAGGGTCAATATTAATGCGGGGCTTTGTTTTTAGGGTAAATTACATAGAATACCCTTGAATTTAAGGTCAGTTACACTCCATCTCCTTTAAGTTTTAATGATTTTACTTAACCCCTCTTACTTGTGAATAAATTTGCAAATCTAATAGAATTTGTTTATTTTAATGACACGGATGTTGCAAGCACTAATTAAGTGCTTGTGTTATAAAATAATAATTTTTTTTTCTAAATTTTAAAATTAAATTGTCAATTTTATCCTTCATCCAATTGAAAAAAATTACAAGAAAAAACATAAAGCGTATAGATTTTCAATGGCATCCTCTCAGGTCATCTCTCTATACCCAACTCTCGCTACGTCACTACAACTCTCCATCTAACTTACCCCAATCCACTGTAACCCCCTCACCCCCCAACCCACTGTAACCCATGTCGCTGCAACTCCTCCTCCAATCTTTGATCCTAGTTTGTGATCTTTGAATTTTTTTTATTTTTTTTGAGTTTGATTATGGTTCTTGACACAAAGAATATGCAAAAGATAGTGAGTTGATGGATGGCGTTTGGGAGGAGATGTACCAGAGGAGTTGGGTGGCTTTTGGCTGGTGTGTCAATGAGGGTTTTATGGTATTTGGGCTGGTGGTGAAAAGGGTAGGGATGGCAATTAACTAAAGCAGGGGTGGGGGTGTAGTATTTATCACTGTATCCGCTTAAAAAAATTTGTCCATCCTCGGTCCACCTCCATTAACAAGTATAATTTTTATCACTATTCCCGTCCACGGCTAAATTTATAATCCCCACCTTCACCCCTCGCCCAAGCCCAACATAAATCCAACATTATAAATAATCCAAACATTAAATATCACAAACTGAAAATTACAACATAATTCTTCTAATAAAAAAGAACTACTAGCATTTGGTATAGTGAGTAGGCAAGAATTCTATCCAGCATTTTTTAAGCAAAAAGTCTATCTAATAATTTTCAATGAGCAAAAATTATTTTCAAATAGAATAAACTCAAAAATTAGCAAAAAATCATATTTAACAATGTAATCAAAATTCAACAAAGACCATATTCAAGTAGTATATATATCACGGGGTTAACATGGGCGGGGAAGGGGGCGAGGCGGGAATGGGACGGGGATAAATGTCAGTTCATCCTCGCCTCTATCCCTACACGAGTTTATACGGATATTTTGTATATATTTATCGTTTAATACGTATGATTAATTTTTAGTTCAAACAAAACGAATTTGAATGAATATCCATTTTCTCTGGTCCACTATCACCCCTATAAAAGGGAGAGTTTGGAACGGGGGGACCAGGCGAGGTGGGGGTGGGACATTTATGGTTTTTGAGAGAGGGGTCTGCCTATTTGTAAGTGACTCTTTTGGGTGTTACGTGGTTGGAATGGATGGCGTTACAAAAAGAAATTAGAAGATAAGTGAAAGGCATTTTAGTCTAGTTGCAAAAACCATTAGGTCAGTCATGATTTGAACTTTATTCACAAATAATAGGGGTTAAGTGTAACTCGTAATTTATGAAAGGAGGTGATATGCAACTACCGTTAAATTTCAGGCAGGTTTTGTATAATTTACCCTTGTTTTTATTATATTTATAGAATAAATATCATAATTAGTTCTTAAATTTTATTATTTATTTTAAAATAATTCTTAAACTTTTAAATATCTCAATTTAGTCCATTAACTATTAATTTTATGTCAATAAAATCTTTCCACCTATTTTCCAAGTTAGATTTAATGGAGCCAGATCCAGGTGTTTGTCACGTAACTGTCCACGTCATATACTTTTATTTGTTTTAAATATTGAAATTAACAAAAAGAATTAATTAAAACAAAATTGAAAGTAAAGGGGTGAAAGTTTATTGTTTATTTTATAATGGGAATCAAGACTAATTATAATATGGACAATTTTTTTATTAAGGCACGTCTGTCCACGCACCAATTCTCAGCTATTCATGACTTTCGGGCGTTTCATTCACAAACTCGCCCATTAGCGTGGCAATTTCCTGCTACCAAACGTTGAATGACACTGACACCCGTTATCTCCTCCTCCTTCTTTCTCTCTGTCACACACCCCACCGTTCACTGCCTACTTTATAGCTTTTACTGTGGCTCTGTAAACTGTTATTTCTTCTCTAATCAATGCACCAGACAAGTGTTTGTCGGTGGACTCGATGAATTTTTCAGAATTTCCTTCATTCATGTGCTTTTCTGCTTCACAGTTCGTCTTAAATTGTGCTCTTTCTCATTCCTCTTAGCTTTTACACTTGAAAGTTTTTCGGTGCATTCAAGTCTTCCACCCATTATTCTCTTCTTTGATGGCGATCATGGTGGGTGACCCATGAACAGTATCAACAGCTTCGTCGTAAACTAATCCAGGTGAGCTCTTTATAGCTTGGACCAAGTACCAAAACCTCAATTTTACTTACTTTGTTTGGGGTTCTAGTTCTAATGGTAGCTCGCATCTGTTTCCCCACATTCTCTTTCACTGTTCTTGGCCGTTTTTTGTATGTTTCTTTCCTAAATGTCAACATGCATATCTAATAATGCATTATATATTTCAGAATATTATAATATTTTTTTTGGGTTTACTTGTGATTATTAATCAGATTAAAAATTTCAGAGCTCATTGTTAAAATTGTTGACTTTGTAAATTGGGCATTACAGTTTCTAGTTGTATTTTTCGAACAAAGAATTTGTACTTGCAATTTTCTGATATATTTGTCTCTTAGATAGCAGCATTAACCAAATAATCTCTGTTTGTTGAGATCATTCATGTCCCAGTGAAGTGAGGCAATGATCCAGGGATTAGTTTGCTTTTGGATACGTATGATGCTCCCCCCCCTCCTCCTCCTCTACCTCTCTCCCTCTCGTAATTATAATTCACTCTCAGATAGCCAAATTTAGTACTTCTGTCTTTAGTCATGATTCATGAGACCATTATGATAATATGCTCTCCAGTGGTAGATTTTTTTTCAACTTCAAGGCGCTGATCCGAAGGAATTTGTTGATTAGTAACTGTACCTGATACCCTTTTCGTGTGCTCTTGTTTTTATGCTGTTAGCTTCTGCAATAGGACTCTCAGTTTCATTCATCCTGCTTATAAGGTGCATCTGTTGAATATTAGACATTGATTCTTGTGGAAATGTCGATTTCGCTGCGTATACATCACCTGTCACTGATCACTCTAATTTATGTGCCTACTTTACCTAAGAAGGTCGGCAATCCTTCGCTTTTAGCCCCTTTTTCGACTCGACTTTCATGACAAACAATGCCTCAATGCAGAGAGGGATTTGCTTCGTTATTTGTGAGATACTTTGGAAGTTCTTCCATTCAACTCACCTGAAATTTCTATCTGATACGTGGTCAATAATGATCCGTGGTCTCGGTTTCTTTAATGATTTGTTTTTCCATTTTGTTTCGGTTAACTTCTGACCATTTGTTCCCAAACTCGACAGGTTGTTTGATCTTGTCTGCTTTCCTGCGTACGAGTGACATCACAGAGATCCATTTCTTGAAGAAAGGTAATTTAGAAATCATATTTTGAATTCATAGTTTTATTTTCTATTGCAATTAGTAAGTGGTTTAGTGAATACAATTTAGGGAGGTAACTCTATTTTGTCACTCACTGAATAGACATAGCTATCTTGAATGTTGATGCCGGAACTAATCACTTGACAAAGCATTTAGCCCTTGGATCTTAGACAGCTATGGTCTTTGGTAATATGAACTTTATTCAAAACTCGAATATAAAGGTGTGCTATTGCGAGGTCCTGCTTAATTCATTGTTCTATTTTGTCTTGTGTAGTTAACCATGGAAAGCAAGACATGGCTTTGGAAGAAAAAATCTTCAGAAAAGACCATTGTTGCAAATGACAAAGCCGACCCTTCTTTGAAAGGAAATGGACAAGAGGTAACAAAGCTTCTCTCTTTTAGAATGCAATACAAAATTAAGCTCTTCTATGCTTTAATGCAATAAGGCTTTATGCGGAAATGTTAAAACTTCAAAGTAGTTATTTTTTATGCAAGTGTAAAATTGCTATTGTTTTTAGCGTGAACTTTTGATCCCAAATCAGAGATGTTAGAATTTATTGGAGGCATAGCTAATGTTTACTTTTTTTTTTTTTGATAAATTAGCTAATGTTTACTTAATAACACACAGAAGCACCCAAATGAGAAAGAAATTGCTCTGGAAAAATCAGTGATGAATCTAAATGAGAAGTTGGCTTCTGTCCTCAGTGAGTGTGATGCCAAAGATGACCTCGTGGCAAACCATGCCAGAATGGCTCAAGAAGTCATTGCAGGTGATTACTGTTATCCTTGATTTTTCCAAATGATGATTATTATTCATGGTATTTGTTCTTTATTTTTCATTCTTTCCAGTTTTAGAATTATTTTTGGCATCTATAATTTGGTTGGTATTAGTTCAGGCCGGGAGAAGGCAGAGGCAGAAGTAGTTTGTCTGAAAAAAGAACTAGATGAAACATTACAGCAGAGAGTAGCTGCAGATGAAAGGTTAACTCACTTAAATGCCGCATTAAAGGATTGTATGCAGGTGTTAAGTTCTGTTAGAGAAGATCAGGAACAACGAATCCGTGATTCTGTAATGAAGACATCAGATGAATTTGGGAAGGCACATAAGAAATTAGAGGAAAAACTATCTGAAACATGTAAAAGGCTTGCAAACTTGACTGTTGAGAATTCTCGTCTCAGTATGGCCCTTCTAGGGAAAGAGAAATTGGTTGAGGATCTTAGTAGGTGCAAGTCTCAGGTAGAAGCAGAATTCAATACACTAATGGCCAGGCTGGATTCTACAGAAAAAGAAAATGCCTTTTTGAAATATGAATTTCGCATGCTTGAGAAGGAGCTTGAGATTCGAAATGAGGAGATACAATTTAGCCGTCGCTCTGCTGATGCATCACACAAACACCACTTGGATAGTGTAAAGAAGATCTCAAGGTTAGAAGCAGAATGTCAAAGATTGCGTGTCCTAGTGCGAAAGCGGTTGCCTGGTCCAGCTGCGTTGGCGAAGATGAAGAGTGAAGTTGAAATACAGGGAAGAAGTCAAATAGAGATGGGAAGGAGAAAGTTGAATCCCATGACCGGAGGTGTGAGAGACTCTACCACAGAAGGCTCTCTTGAAATTCCCAGTAAGAAGATTAGTTTGTTGATCGAGCAGTTATGTAATATAGAAGACGAAAACAAAATTCTCAAAGAAATTTTAGCCAAGAAAGATAATGAACTTTGTTCTTTGACAACTGTATGTGCTAGAAAAACCTCCAAATTGTCCCAGGTTGAAGCTCAGCTTGCAGAGCTTTCAAAAGTTCAGAAATCTATGCAATTGCAGCCAGCTTTGTCTGACACACTGTCAAATGAACTCTCTCTCGCCAGTTATGATGTAGGCAATGATGATGAAACTTATCATTCAGGATCAGTGGCTTCTGCTCTGATTTCAGAGCTAGAGTATTTCAGACAACGAAACCCCAGAAATACATCTGCATCTGAATGCAAAATGATTGGAGTTTCAGACATGAGCCTAATGGATGATTTCGCAGAAATGGAGAAGTTAGCAATAGTCGCTGTTGATGCCTCCCTAGGAAATTCGTATGCTTCTTCAGATGCGAGTTACAGGTTATCAGATTCCTTGACAAAGGAGGCATATAAGCATCATTTGTATTTGTCTTGTAAGGAACTAGTTCCAGTGGTACAAGGGGATCCCAATGACGGGCAACAAGAACTCCAAACAAGAGATGTATCATCTGGAAAATCCTGTGATTGGCTTCAGGATGTCTTGAAGGTGATCTTGGAGCAAAATCGTTTTTCAAAAAGAAGTGTTGAAGAACTTCTCGAGGACATTAGATTAGCTTTGCAATATTTGAATCACCGAGGTGCAAGTGAAGCTTATAGAGCAGGGATTTCAAAGCATCCAGAGCGATCTGAGGCGCTTCCAATAAGCGGTTATATTACTTGGAAATCTCCAAATGCATCTCCTAGAGTGGGTTCAATTAAAAAAACTCCTGATATTGGCACCACGATGCAAGAAACGCACAGTGAATATGTCCAATCCAATCTGAGTAGGTCAATCTGTAGAATGATTGAGCTTATCAGAAGGATAGATTCAACATGCTCAACGAACTGTACTGTGCCAGATAGTTCAGGTATAAGTCAGAGAACCTTACCACAGTTGCAGTCCACAATACCGTCAGACTACTTGGTTCATGTTTTCCAATGGAAAAGTTGTGAACTAAGAACTGTTCTAAGACAATTTGTTAATACTTGTACTGACTTGTTGCATGGGAAGGTCGACTTTGAGAAGTTTGCTGAGGAGTTGGCATCTACATTGTACTGGATTGTGAACAAATGCATTGCCTTTCAAGATGCTTCAAGTCTTAGAGAGAAAACCAAGGAGCATTTTGGTGATGATGAATCAGCATGTGCAAGTGAGTCTGGATCTGTGGGCAATTGCACGTTTTCACCATCAATTGTAGTTCACAAGTCTGAGGAGCAGTCATCGTTTTCCCCCTCCATTACTACTTCAAATATGCAAAATCTTATGTTCAGAATGGAGAAGATTCGCTCTAATCTGCAAGAAGAGAATGAAGGATTGAAAGAAGAGTTGAATAATATGAAATCCTCACAAAAAGAATTGGAGGCGATGCTGCAGTCGGCAAACAATAAGGAAAAGGCCTTGACAAATCAACTTCGTGAATCAGAACAAAGCATTGGAAATCTACAAACTGAAGTGGATACTATGAAAGAATCCAAAAGAATGATTGAGGATCAATTTGAAAATCAGAAGTTGATAAATGAAGATCTCGATACCCAGCTGAATGTTGCTAAAGCTAAATTAAATGAAGTTCTTCTGAAGTTATCTGCTCTTGAAGTAGAATTAGACGATAAAAGTCACTGCTGTGAAGACTTGGAAGGGACCTGCCTTGAGCTTCAACTCCAACTTGAAAGGTTTGCTTTCTTGGTTTTAGTTCTCTGCAGAAACTAAACCCTAAATTTGCCTTATTAAAGAAAGAACTGTCTGATTTCTGGAACATGCAATATGCAGTATTACCAACAAGGACATTCCAGAAGATGACATAGATCAAGAGGAGAAGCTACTCCAAACTGTAAGTTTCCTTTTTGTTGACAAAATCAACATTAGATTTCTGCAAAGAATGCCATGTGCATGATCAGGTACTTACGATCTTTCCCTGGTACTCCCTTAGTTTGAAAAAATTGTTGTGAGCCTCTGCTTTACAGAGGACCACCATAGTTAGATTAATTATGCACACAGGCACATTTTGTTCCGTTACGTTCAGTGTCCTAGTTTGTGCTGATTGAGTAGCATCAATGTGAGAGCTGTGCCTGTATGTTGACAACTCTGATTCTCACGTTCATATTGCGCTGTAGGTATACAAGACATTCTAAACATACAGTTGGACATTAATTAGAAAACTAAATTATCCCATCATGTTTTACATGTCCTTTTATGTGCAAGTACAGTATAGTGGATGGGGAATATCACATACCATTTCAGCCACCATCGAACTTTGTTGGGATGAAAGGAAAAATTAAAGAGAGAAATTGAACCAATGTCACTATATGAGGTCCTAAGTTAATTCTCTAATCGCCTTTGAAATCCGGTGTAAAATTTTGTGGGAGCATTTTAAGACCTGGGATGCTGAAAGGCATCCTTGATTATGGGATTGACATACCATGGAAATGAATATAGTATGGCTGGATTATGTAGAGAAGACCTCTTTCTCTCGACTCAATACCCATTTCATCCTCATACCTTCCAGAAAAAATACGCCTTTGCAAAAGTTAATTGTACTTAGATGATACCTTTTTGCATACACCTAAACAAGGTGGTCAAGGAATGAATTATCAGAGGCGGTCATAAATCAAAAAACTCGTTCAAATTTTGCAGGGCTGGGAGATTTCAGCTGCTTCTGCAAAGTTGGCTGAGTGCCAAGAAACCATATTCAACCTGGGGAAACAGTTAAAAGCGTTGGCTTCACCGAAGGAAGCAGCAATTTTTGACAAGGTTTTCTCTAACACCAGCGCCAACAATAAGAAGTTGATCCAGCGCTCATCCCTTCGTGATAGAATGCTGGCCGAGGATGGCGATGAACCAGTGGATTTGAATTCCCCGAAGACAAAAGAAATTATTAGCACTGCAGAAACAAAAACACCGACCATCATTCGTGCTCCTAATTTCCAGGTAGCGCCTCCAGAAGGATATCTTGCTTTGAAGCCTGAATTCAGAACTGTTGCAGTTGGAGCTCCTCTTGCAATTGTACCAAGTAAGAAACGGGGAGGACGGTTTGGTTTGCTAAGGAAGCTAATGCTTAAAAGGAAAAGAGGGAAGACGTCGGTTTCTTTTGCCACTTAAGGCGTCGATGAAGCAAGAAAAAGAAACAGCATTACTTAATGTTTGCTAATCGATGATTATGGCATTCCTTGTTTTGCCAATGCTGCTTGTCAATAGGTAAGTATGCATGTCTTGTTTATACCTCATTTGCAGAGAGTGGATTGTATGATGTTCTTGATGTATATTTTTCTGTACACTTTTGGGGGACTATAATAGCAATAATAATCGAAAAGCATTGGCAGTTGGACTGTGATTTCCAGGCAGAGCACACATTAAGGGAGTTGCATTTAGTAGTATAACATGACAAAGAGTAAACAGGAGTGATGACGGGTCCTGGACAGAGACTGTTCAGTTGTCACTTGAATCCGTTACCGAAGTTATAATTTAACCTTTAAAAGTTGTAACTTACATAATCGATCATAATTTTTAAAATTGTAATTTGACCTTAGAACATAGTTTTTTCGGTATGATACCTCCTTCGGTACTATCCTCATATTGTAGCTCTTACCAAACTGTCCAATTCATGAGAGAATATTTAATATACATTCATGATACCATGTCAGCATTGATGACATAGTATCACCAATCAATAATAAAATTTCAAATGAGTAAAGTGAATCTTACTTATGTAGTTATTGACTTATATGGAAGAATAGTGAGTAATTATTTACTTATATAGATGAATGGTTATTAATTTTTGTGAGGTCCGTTTCTTTATTTATTTATATATTATTAGTTAATTATACCACGTAATAATATTGACGTAGGGTTATAGTTAAATGAATATTTTTTCCCAATTCACTCCCTCCCAATTGAAGGAAAAACAAACAATGATTGGAGAGAGAGAGAGAGAAGGGGGGGGGGGATGTTTAAGATGTGGAGGACTAAATGGTTGAATAATTATTTCTGAAGTGTTTTACAATGGTGAATTACTATGAATATTTGAACAAACAAGAGGTTCCACACATGCAAGACATTGACCAAGTCAAGGTAGTTCAATCTAATACGAACACCTCTTGACAAACTGGGTCAAGCAAACCCATGTATATCCCATTTGGATCCGACCCGAAGTCCAAGAACTCTGTTCTCTGCAATCTGCATGCTTAATGGACACTTATTTCCTCAGGTTTTGGTGGCAGTCTCTGCAGCTTTCTTCAATTCAAGCAAGGCTTCTTCAAAACAGCTAGCTAGAACTTCAGGGTCAGGGATAATCTCTTTGGCCACCAGGATTTGCATATCAGCTCTTCCTGCATAGCTCAACATGTGCATTGTAATTGCCTGCAGTACCAACATCAGAAAGATAGCCAACCTCCTGTTATATATTATCAATTCCAAACACATGCTGCCAATCGAGAAAACAAAGAGATTGAGTTTAGAAGCTGTACATGAGGTAGGCTTGATGTATTTGCCCGAATATACGTTATTGGATTGGCAGCAATCGTAATTTCCTCTCGAGGGCCAAGCACGTTTGAGATAGTAAATGTCGTGTTACAAAGTATTCTGTAGTTGAGCATGCACGCAAACTACAATGAAGACAAAATAATTAGCAGTTTACTCTTTTATGTGCTAAAACTGCATTGAAATAGAGCTTGTTCACCTTTGGTCCAAGGCAGGACATAACTAAGTACCCGATTTTGTAAGAGAAGAAAGCCTCTAATGACAGTTTCTTCCGGTCAATCATCGCCTTTGCTCTCGTTAGAAACTGTAGAGGATCAGTGCAACTTCTATGGTAATAAATAGGTAACAGAAGCATACCAAATTTGTTGCCCCACCGTGTCTCTGAATTGCTTCTCATCAACTTCGAAAGATCCTGATCATAAGTAGAGCATCGTTTCCATTCAAACCCAAAAATTGGATTTCAATAAGTTTGTTATGTTGAAGTACAAATATTTAAGTTATTAGTAAATGGTTGTTTAGCATGATATCAGAGCAAGAGATCCTGTATTCAAATCTCGCCGTCATCCTAATTATTAAAAGACTTTTACATGTTAGGCCTAAAATCTAGCCTATACGTGAGGAGATGTTAACTTAAACTTTTGGAGTACTTTATGATAAGTTTTTCGAGTAGATGATTGTTTAACCAGTTTTCCTCATTGGCTAAATAAATATCGCATACAGAGATAGAGAATGGTAAACTTTTGGAATAGATAGTTTTTTAACCTGGTAATCATCGGATAAACGAATATTGCATACAAAGACAGAGAGAGTGACAAAATTTTAAAGTAAATGATTGTTTAACCTGTTAATCATTGGATAAACAAATATTGCATATATATATATATATATATAGAGAGAGAGAGAGAGAGAGAGAATGGTACCTGCAATCCTGATTGTGGCCTTAGATTGACCATGGCAAGTCCTGTCATTTGAAGCCCCTCTCGCAGAGCTAGAAAGAGAGAGAGAGAGAGAGTTAAAACTCAATTTAGTTAAGTTGATGAAAAATGTCATTAACAATGGAATGTAAATGCAAAGGCATTTTACCTTTTGGGGTTCGTAGATCCAGATATTTTGAAAGGCCAGATGAAACCACCCCGAAAAGAACGTCGTTAATGGTCTGCAATGTTTTGTTCAATTTATACATTATTAAGCAATAAGAATGGAAGTTAAACAATTGCATGATCTAGTTATAATTTTTTATCACCAAAAAAAATTAGTGCCTTAGGTACCGTTTAGGAAGTACGGATACTTTCCGAAAGGTGTCGTGCCAATGTTCAACATGGCCGAACACAGTTAGATAGCATTGTTTTGTTTTGAATAGTAAATTCAGTCAAACATAACCAAGATACGATTAATATATATCTAAGATACGGTTATGATATCACCATATTCAAAAAAAAAATTATTAAAAAAACAACCATTAACTATTAAAAGAGGCGTGTTTCTATTTTTTTATTATTTAACTATTATACTAAGAATATAACGATGTTTGATAAAAACAATGAATATATATTTTGATTTATTTCAATTTTAAGAAAAAAAAATATTTGTTAGACCTTATTATTAATATTGTTATAATATATGTTTTATTATTATTATTATTATTATAATATATTACAATTTTATTATTATTTAAAAAATATATTATATTATTTTTAAATTTTAAATTTTGTCGTATCTATATTATTGTATCATATATTAAATATGATACATATGTTTATATCCGTGCAACCTAGGGTGCCGTAGTTTTCCTCAACTCTTTAACTCCCACAGGTGATTCCATCACCTTTGACCCAAACCAAAAACAGAAAGAAAATATTAAAAAACTAGAAGACCCATCCGGACGAGTCAGAAAGGGTGGAGGAAGGAGCTGTGCTGCCTTAAAACGGTGGCGCTTTATTAAATCACATTTAAACTGATTCAGATATACCACACTATTAAAAAAAAAAAAAAAAACTGTAGTGTTGCGAGACACGTGACGTTTTCACAAACAAACAGTGGAATTTTCTTTGTGCTTTTGAGTCCGTCCGAAAGTTGTGGTTGGCTTACAAGTTACAAAGTCCACAAAATAAAAAACAAGAAAGAAAGAGATTGTTCATCTCACAAGTGGACCCGATTTGCCAAATCATCATTTTCTAAATATAATACTAGTAAAAAACAAAATTAGGGAATTTAATATTCAACCACATCCACATAGGCTTGTTAATGTCGTGACTTGTTGGGTGATCCGTGTATCGGATATTTTAATATTAAATTATTATTATATGTATTTAATAATTATGCCATGTCAAATTTATATTGAGTATACGGAATCGAGATTCCTTATATCTACATGTAAACAATAGGACAAAACTGAAACTACTGGATATACATTAACCCGTCAACCAGGAAAAAAGCAGAGGCTTGACCATAGTACCATGAAAAATAAAAATAAAAATAAAAATGTCTTGCTATATTTCCAAAATTTATTATTTTAAATAATATTTTTATAATTTTTATAGTTAATTTACCATTTTTGTAAATAGTTTTATTATTATGTGTGTTTATATCACATTTATAGTAATTATTTTTATCTTTTTTTTTCGACACAAAAAATTATCATTTTGTGAGTGATTTATCGTATTTATAGGTATTTTTATAACTGTTATAGTAATTATTATTATTTTTTTAGGTATTAAAATAATAATACAAATATTCACAAATTATCGACTCCAAAAAGCAGTCAGTGATTCTACAGCTCTCAGTAGTTTGTCTTATTGGGTTGCGTCGCGTTGGTTTGAAGAAGTAAATATTGAACCGTAATTGTCGGGTCATTAATGATAGCTGAGGACATATAGAGACATTCGAGTAAGCAGGCAGCTTCCGGGTTACACCCATTGACGGGGCATCTGGGAATCAAATTATTGTGTGCATTTTCAAATTTGTGTCCAATATTGATCATATTCATCAACCGTGTCATTTTCCGATGGACATGGATGACCATGAATCCTAAATCCAAACCTAAGTACTGATTTTATCCCAAATGCTCCCTATACACTAAAAATTTATCTAATCTATTTACTAACAAAATTTAAGTAAACATCTATATCATAAAATAATTTACAATTTAAATCTCAAAAGATAAACAAAATAACTTTTGTTATTCGCGGTTAAGATCGCTTTAAATTTTATTTTAAAGTTAATCTAACAGCTAATATTAACACATTAAATTTCATAAGAAAAATAGGCCTCTAAGAGTGTGTTTTGAGTGACTTTTTAAAATTATTTTTAGAAATCATTTCTCATAAATACTTTAAAAAAAATAGTGTTTGAAATCGTCTCACCACTACCTCTACCACCACCATCGCCACTGTCGACGTCACCACCGCCACCGCCATCGCCACCATTGCCGTCGCAACCACCACCTTCATCGCCACTCCCATCGTCGCCACCACCCCCACCTTCGCCGCCGCCACTACCACTACGGTCATTGCCACTCACCACAACTATCACCGCCTTCTACCACCACCACTGCTATTCACCACTTCTCACCCCCTTTACAAATCGATACTTCAATTCATTTATCTCTTCTCTATGTTTGTGATTTAATTTTGAATATGAATATAAATATGTTTATTGTTTACCATTTTTTATTACTTTGTGCCTTCAGACATAGACAATAACTAGTATATATAATAAAATATCTTACAATTCAAATCTCAAAAGATAAACAAAAGGACTTTTACTATTCGCGATTGAAACTGCTTTAAATTTTATTTTAAAGTTAATCTAACGACTACTATTAACACCTTAAATTTAATAGAAAAAATAGGGCTTTAATAGTGTGCTTGGAGTAATTTGTTAAAAGTACTTTTAAAAATTTTTTCTCATAAATATTTTTTTAAAAAATAATGTTTGAAATTGTCTCACCACTATCACAACCACAGCCACCACCACCACCACCGCCATTGCAGCAGTTGCCATCACTGCTACCACCACTGACCCTATCGCCGCCACCACCATCGTCGCCACCGTCACCACCACCATCGCCAACGTCGCCACCACCACCACCACCACCGTCTCTACCGCCACCACCATCGCCGCTGCTACAGTCATTGCCACCCACCACAACTATCACTATCTTTTACCACTACCACTGTCACCCACCACCTCTCACCCCCACTATAAACCCGATGCTTAAATTTTTTTATCTCTTCTCTATGTTTATGATTTGATTTTAGATATGAATATAAATATGTTTATCGTTTATCATTTTTTATTATTCTGTGCCTTCAGGCACAGACAATAACTAGTCTATATAATAAAATACAATACAATTCAAATTTCAAAAGATAAACAAAATGACTTTTACTTTTTGTGGTTGAGAATTTTTTAAATTTTATTTTAAGGTTAATCCAACGACTAATATTAACATCCAAAATTTAATAGGAAAAATAGACCATCAAATATGTGTTTGTCGTGACTTTTTAAAAATACTTATAAGATTTATAACTTCTCATAAGGACTTTAAAAAAAAAAAATAGTGTTTGAAACCACCCTCACCATCCTCACCGTCATTGTCACCCTACCACCACCATTACCCTCACCCCCACCCCCACAACCATCACTACTATAACCATCACTGTCATCACCACCCTACCACTACCGCTCCTGTTCTACTATCACCCCTACCATCATCACCTCCACTATCCCACACCCACCCCCCACGACCATCACCACTACCACACCCCCCACCTTCATCTCCCACGACCATCACCACCGCCACAATTACTATTGTCACCCCACCCCCACCATCACCACTGTCCCACCCTCACCTGATCGCCCCCATTATTACCATTGCCACCCACCAACGATTACTACCACCGTCATCATTTATCACCATTGTCATCTCATTTTATATTTGTTAGTATTACCACCATCATTCCATTATCACCGTTGCCTACCACCACCCATCACTATCATCCACTTTCATCGCACCTACCACCACCACCACAATTATTCGTCACCACATATTATATTGTCGCCTAGAAGCACTTGTCATCACCCACCACCACCAAAGTTGTCTTACCACTACCACAACTAACCATTATCACTATCGCCTATCACCACCCACATTCATTATCACCATCATCATCGTCGTCATCACTCATAATTGTCACTACCACCATCATCACTCAAAACCCACAACCACCATCATTTTTTTTACTACTCCGTGCCTTCAAGTACAGAAAATAAGTAATAAATTTATAACATACAATATCTATAAAGAAATAAAAATAATCAAATATTTTCTTATACAATATAATTTAAACAAGTTTGTCATGCCAAAATCATCTAAACCTACTTGTTTATTATTCATATTAGTGAATCCCATTATTTTTGAATGCCATCGAATACGTATTATATCAACAAATTGTGCTAAAAATTATCACTTTTTATGCATGCATTTTAAAACTTAAATAGTTATTGATCATATGATAGTAATATCATGAATAACTACTAAAACATTGTAACAAATATTTATATGGATTTGAACACCTTCCATAAGCATCGGGTTGGTGCGTGGGTTACCCCGCCAAGTCCACATAAAACAAACATTTATCTTTTTTTTTTTTTTAACGGTTAAGGATATCAAGTCAACATACGCGCGTATCTCGATTAATTTCATCTCCGATTTGGTTTAAAATAAATTATTCACACCAAAATTAAAATATTCATTTAAGATAAATCCATAATCATCTAGTTCTAAGAGATTGTTAAGATTCGAATTCAAATCGTTTGAATTCATAATTCGTCTTTATTACCACATAAAACAAACATTTATCCAATGGATAGCATGAAAAAAATTATTTAGTACCATATTAAAATTATTATTGTTATCAACTAAAATATATTTTAAATATAAATTAGAATTAATCAGTTAATTAAGATTATTTATGATTGACAAAAAGTATAAATTGACTTTCAAAAATTATAATTAATTGACTCTTTATAAAGTATCTTAATTAATTAAGATTATTTATGATTGACATATAAAAGTATAAATTGACTTTAAAAAATTACAATTAATTGACTCTTTCAAAGTATCTTAATTAATTATAAAGTGACATTTAAAAATAATAATTTTATTTTAAAAAAATATTATTTTCAGTCAACTAGTATATTCATAAAAATAAAATATTAACGGTCCTAAAATATGAAAATTTAAAGCATTAATATTAAATTTACCGCATGAGGAACAGCCTTTTTCACTGCCTTCATGTCGTCAAGATGAAACTTCGCCGTCGCTAACTTTCTCGGCCACAGCTCCACCCCAGCACCACCGATCACAGCGGTCTTCTTATCTTTCAGCCACAAACTCCTCAGCCCAAACTCAAACACAAAAATCAACGTATACCACAGCATCTTCACAAGCCTCCACACCTTCCATTCTCTCCCATTCCTCCTACTACTCGTCGAAGAGGAATCGCCGGAGTTAACCGTCGCCGGCTGTGTAGGATCGTCAGCTTTTCTACAACACGATAAGAACATCGACATCAGAGAAATCCCATCTCCCAAAGCATGGTGGACTCGAAAAATAGCGCATTTTTGGGACATGAGAAGGTGTATTTCCCACAAGGGCTTGTCAGCGCTAAGTGGTGAAGAGAGTGACAGATCGGCCAAGTAGTCGTTGACTGCTTCTTCATCGTCGGCAGCGGTGTCTCCGTCGGACTCATGACGAACGATGATGTGCTGATCTAGGTTGACTTGTGTTCTTCGCCAGTGTTCGCGGCCGTGACGGTCTTTGATCATGAGGCTGCAGAATCTGGGGTGTTCAATCAACATCGAGTTTCGAATTTGGGATTCAACGGCGTCGACCTCGATTGGGTTTTTGAGGCCGATGGCGCAGGTGATTATTGTGTTCAGTTCTGGCCGGAGGAATAGCCTTCCGGCCGGTGTTAATGGCTCATCAATTTCTGTAACCATGATGGATAGAGAGAGAGGCCCCTTCCGTGTTGTTGGATTTGGTCCCGAGGACAATCTTAGCTTTAGAAAGCCAAAACATGTTCTGGAAGTGATTGTTAAACTTACCCACGGGTGCATTGAAAATTTTATTATATTTTTAATGTTGTATTTAGAGCAACTCTAAGGAGAGTGGTATCGGGGGTGACAATCCCATAATTGTGAAAATACTATCTCAAATTTAAAAATTTGGACTCTAACAGGAGTGACATTAGAGATTGTAAAATAACATCAAAGACTTTGAAGTGGCAATTTTGACAACTCTAGAAAGGGAAAGGAAGAGGTTTGCAAATTCTACTGTTCAAATCTATGGCTCTTTCAACTGTTCTATTCAACAAAAAATTTCTATAAATACAAAGATTTTGAAAAGAAAGGAATGGGAAAGGGGTAAGGTCTAAATTGCACATGGAAGGAGAATGGGAAGAGGAAGGGGAAGGGTTTGATTGCAGAGGGAAAGGGAAAGGGGTAGAGTCTGAATCACAAAGGGAAGGAGAAGGGTCTGATCGCAGAGGAAAAGGGAAAGGAATAGGGCATCAATGATTTGTTATAATTTATAATTTGTGGCAGATTTAATTTAATTAAAGGTTAATTTATGACAGAGAGAAGGGGATAACAGATTTAATTTATAATTTGTTTTAATTAAGGGTGATTTGATTTATTTTTTAATTCATTATTTTATGCTTATTCTTTAAACTGATTATAATTTTTTTTGTAGATGGATTTGTAATTTGACAGTTCTTTCACTTATTTGTTTAAGAACGACACCGATTTATATGATGATGCTATGTAAACCAATCTCACAGTATTGATGCCAAGAGTGAGAAAATCGCAAAAGAGAAAGAACTTCGTATTTGTGTGGCTTAATACGAGTAAAGATGCAATTATTGAAAATGAACAACAAGGTGGTGCTTTTTGGCAAAAAATATTGAAAAATTTAGAATTTCATGGAGGCAATCAAGAAGAGCATTCGCAAGCTTTTATTAAAAGTCGTTGGACTGATGTAAATGTCAAATGTGACAAATTTGTCGATTTTTATAGTCAAATTAAAAGACTGCGACAAAGTAGACACACCGAGCAAAATAATGTAATGATGGAGCTTGTTTAGATAGACATTACTATGATTTAATTTTTTTACTATTGACAAAATGATTTCATATGTTTTTCAAGTTGATGAAGCAAAAATAATGTTTGCTAAGATGATTTGAAGACCATTTCAATATGAGTATTGTTTGAATGTATTGAAAATGGAGTGGAAATGAACTGATAATCTCACCAGCAATAAGAGAGCAAAAACTCATTTAACTGGTAATCTTGCTGAATCAAATCATGTTAAATTTTGCTATTCAACTTCATATTTAGGGGATGACATTACTTTCCTTTTTCTATTTAGGCATGTGCTCAGCCATTTAAAGGGCTGAATGTCTTTCCTTTTTTCTTCAAGAGTCTTAGGAAAGTAAGAGATATTTCTTTACCCCCAAGTAAGAGATATTTCCTAAGTAGGATAGCTATTTTAGGAAGATTCTTAATCCTTGTAATGACCAGCCTATAAATAGGCATTCAGATCAATGAAAATTTAGATCATTACTCAGCAAATTTTGACAGTATTTTCTCTTTGGTTCTTTGAAGAACTAAACGAACTTATCGAAATTCTCCGTGGCGTTCACCAACAACTTATCAAACGGGTTTCCACACCGTTTGTGGCGTCTTCCTTTATACCGAGGTTCTTGTTTCACAAACAGTGGGTTGAGGTCTATATACTAAGGTTCTTGTTTGTTGTAAACAACGGGTCAAGGTCTACCATAAAATCTGTTCGTTAAACGATCTTGAGTTCTTTTCGTTGTTGGTTCTCGTTATTCCGGCGGGTAACATATCACACCAGCGACTTATCAAACAAGTTGTAGAGCAACTTGACAAAATGATTTCATATGTTTTTCAAGTTGATGAAGCAAAAATAATGTTTGCTAAGATCATTTGAAGACCATTTCAATATGAGTATTGTTTGAATATATTGAAAATGGAGTGAAAATGAACTGATAATCTCACCAGCAATAAGAGAGCAAAAACTCATTTAACTGGTAGTCCTGCTGAATCAAATCATGTTAAATTTTGCTATTCAACTTCATATTTAGGGGATGACATTGAACCTTCGTCTACTCCCAACCTCGATAGGCCATTGGACAGAAAGGCTTCGAAGAAATAATTTAAAAAAAAAAATCGGTGTTGAAGCATTACTAGATTATCACTAATAGAATCAAAGAATGGAAGTGGAACGACAAAAAGGTGAGCGGCATGACAAAATTTATGCTCAACAAGAAATAACATTTGAAAAACATCGTAAACAATTAGAAATTGAAGAAAGGCAGGTGCAATAAATTGAAATGCATAATAAAATAAAAATCATGAAAACTGACACTACTGACATGGACTCAATATCTGCATCATATTGGAATAACCTGAAAATAAAGATTATGAAAAAGCGGAGTTTTAATTTTTAGTATTTATTATGTTGCTGTTATTTTTTAATTTTTAGTCATTATTTATTATTATTTATGAAAAACTATGTATTAAGTTTGATTGCTATGAAAGTACCGATGAAATTGAAAATATAACTTGAAATTGAAATTGGAATTGAAAATACAACTTAAAATTGGAATTGAGAAAATTATTGTTCGCCATGTCATTCCCACAAATGAGTTGAGAATGAGTTGCACTGTCCTTGATCTGACAATGAGTTTGCATGAAGTCTTCCAATTCTGGTGTATACGCATGCGACACTTCTACAAGCGGATTTGCATCACTTCCATCAAAGTCATTGTTACCAACATCTCTTTCATCCTCAATGACCATATTATATATTATTATGCACGTTTTCATAATATCTACTAATGTTCTTTCATTTAAAAGCTGGTTGGTCCATGGACGATTGCAAAACGGGCTTGAAATACCCCAAATGCCCGCTCTACATCTTTTATTGCCGACTTTTGTGCTTTAACAAAATATTTTTTCCTCAAACCTTGCGGATAGGGAATTGTTTTTACAAATGTCGACCATTTTGGATAAATATCATCAGCTAGATAATATTCCATTGTATACTCATGGTCATTAATTGTATAGTTTAATAGAGGAGAATGACAATTTGCTAATAATGCAAAAATCGGGGACATATCTAGAACATTTATGTTATTCAGCGAACCAGAAATCCCAAAGAATGCATGTCTTATTCAAAGATCTTGAGAAGCCACAACTTCTAAAATGATTGTTTGTTTGTGACAATGACTAATATACATACCTTGTCATGCAGTCGTACAATTTTTTCATTTCCAATGCATGTAATCAATACTCCCTAACATGTCGGGAAAGCCACGTTGTTCCTTCGTCTGTAGCAATCGAGCAATATTGCCATTGTTTGGTGACCTTAAGTAATGATCGTCAAACACTATAATAACAACTTTCACAAACCTTCTCAGACTTTGTATGACAGTGCTTTCTCCAATTCTGATGTATTCATCCACAAAATCTGCTGGTATTCAGTAAGCAAAAATTCAATAAGCAGTTGTTATCTTCAGAAGGGATGACAAACTGAGAGTTCCAACGACATCTGTTGTTTGAATGAAGTATGGATCATGTTGTTCAACCTCATTTACAATTCGGAAAAAAAGAGGACGACTCATTTGGAACCTCCTTTGGAAAAAACCTTTATATACACAAGGGGTAGCAAAATAGTCACGATAGAGTCTTTCGTAACCTTTAACTCTACCACGATTAACTGTTTTGTGATCTGGAACAGAACCACGATGCCTTCTTATCCGTCCCTGACTAGACCTTTCTGACATTCTAGTTGTAGCATACAACATATTCAATTCATCATTATCTTCTTCCTTAATATTGAGAATCTCTCTTAAAATATTAGGATAACGATTCATATAAATTGATGAATGAAAATATGAAAAGATAAATAGTCAAAGAGAAATGAGAAATTGAATTTATAGAGAAAGAATGTAATATAGATGAATGAAAACATGAGAAAAAATGATTATATTTATAAACTAATTATACTTTTTTGAATTTTTATTTTGGCGGTTAAATTTTTAAATTTAAATTTCAATAGTTGAATTTTGAAATTTGAATTTCGGCAAACAAATTTTGAATTTGAAATTTTTAGTATAAAAATATATCCGTTAAATTGCAATTGTTATGAAAACTATACCCGTGAAAATATAACCGTTAAATTTAACTATATTTTTAAATAAAAAATATTAAAATAACACCCCATTTTGGCACCTCCCATTAGAGCAGATTTATAATTCAGAGATACCAAAATATTGTCCAACGTTACAAATGAGTGATTTGACACCCCAAAATGACGACTCCCTTTAAAGTTACTCTTACTCTCTTGCCATGTCGTTCAAAGTTACTCTTACTCTCTTGCCATGTCGTTCTTGCCATATAGTCTAAGAGCATCTTCAACGAGGATCGCTACTCCTTCCTTTTAGCTGTTTTGGCGAGCAATCATCACAAATTCAGCTCCAACGCCCTAGCCAGTTGATGCTTTTGATCTTTGTTGTTGCTGCTGTGAACCAGGTTTTGGCGAGATGGATGGGTGGTGGTGCTGCTGCTGCTGCTGCTGTGAACCAGGTTCTGAACCCCCCTGAAATAAATTTTGAACCTCCAAACAAATTCTAAAACTCCCCCTTAAATTTTGAAAACTCCATTAATTTTTATGTATAATAGAATATTTATATTTAGACCCCTATAAAATATTAATATAAGTATTTAAGACGTATTGTACAATTGATTTTTGTTATTTAAAGTGAATGGATGTTAAATTGCCAGTAAGTTGTATTATTTAAAGTTTAATTATAATTATTATTATGGTATGATTTTAGTTGAATTGATGATTATACATGCTTTGAGTTAAATTTTTGAATTATATTATTAAAAATTACTTAAAGTCAATTGAAATAGTAACTAAAATAGAGAGTATAGTTGACATAAATTTGAAAAAATGATTAACTAAAATACAAAATATAATATTTAAATATATTTTAAATAATTATTTTATTGAACCTTCGTCTTTCGGGGCCTACCCGAAAGAGAATCCAATATTTCTTGGTCGTGAATATCTGAACTGGTTGTTCACTGTTCAAGAATTCTTGTTTAGACAATTCATACCATTCATACATAATGTTTTGATTTAAAATTTCAATTCTTCCGCATTTCAGCAGAAACATATTATTCTATGGAGCTAGGGTCCAAAATATGGAAGAAATGATTGGAGTTACTCTGAGCTGGCTTTCAGCTTATCTTACTCCACATGAGCTTCTGTCTAACAGACAATCTACACACATTCTTTCCTTTTTTTTTTTCAACGGTGATAAATATTCTGATCAATTTACTTATACTTTAAATAACCTTCTTTCCAATCCGATCCTTGGCCCTAAGGAAACAATCTGACACACATTCAAGTACTATAAAGGAGATAAAGTTAAGAGTTTGTGTATTTCCAACATCTTCTCGATCAAATACAATATTAAATCAAAAATCGAAGTCCTGTACACAAAAATCCAACAAATACAGGTATTCCCTCGTGTGAAAAGACTAATTTTATGAATCAATATGTAGCGTTTATCTTTATTGATGTGTTCGGATTATGAGTATGAACATTCATTGGAAGAAATTTGTTCATCCTTAATAAGCGGTTGGTTGATCAGTTCTATTCTTGCTCAATAGAATGGAATCTTATACGATAGCTGTGAATAGAAATCACACATAAACCTACTGGCACCACTTGCATATAATGAAGCTGAACATGATAAGAAATTTAAAAGGCCACAACAATATATGTCATCATCGTTCGTAGCCATTAGTTTGTCAACAGTTTAGTTTATCGTGGCAACATTCAAAAAAATCAATGCAGCAAATACTTATTGGCATTTACATAACCAAAACTTGCCACAAGTTTCAAAATAGCAGTTGAAACACCAAAGCAGAAGCTACGTGTTAATTAGATTTGAAAAGTACATGAATGTGCACGAAGTAAAACTTGAATACTTGGCCAAAGCCTTGTATTCAACACCATGCATCCCTTGAAATGGAAGAAAATTCGTACCAGTTCAGAGATTTCACCCAGAATTCTTCAGCAGTCGTGAAAGTATCAGATATAAAAACAAATCTGGCATACAAGACTGTCATCAAATAAACAAAGAATCCACAATACCTTAAATACTTTCATATGAATAGTCACATATAGCAAAAAGGATAAAGCAAGTTCCTGATGTGGGTAAACACTGAACTAACAACATACATCAAAGTAATTCAATTAAGGACATCAGAAGCAAAACTTGTATTCGGATCTTGAATAAAAGGAGATTTGTACAAAGCAACGGACATATATTAGCAGAACAATAACACTATCATTGGAGTAGCTAGCAAATTGCAGAATGTCAGCCTGATCTTCACTATAACACAATGGAAGACCAACCTATTGCATCATATTTCTTAAATTCATCACCAGACAGAGGAGGCTAGCATAGATTCTAGTGTTGCATTTGGATCAATCAGGCATTACAACAATTGTTGTCTAGATACCCGTATGCATACATAGTTTCAGTGCAGCATCCATATCATGTGGTAACCACTAAAGCACGAATCTGTGGATGCTCAAATTACGGTTTCTTTAGTTTTCTTTTTTAAGAACAGTTATTTTGGTCCAATGTAGTATTTGACAGCAATACCATAAGAGTGATGTTTCATTTCACTTTGGTGCTGTCGAGAAGAATGGTAACAATGGCTACATAACGTCACAACCATATATAGAAGTTGCCAGTGAATATGATTGTGTTGTCCTTGAAAATCAGATACTTGGCTTGGATAAAGATCGGTTGTTTTTCAAAACTAATTCACGATTTAGTGAATATCTTGGATTAGTTTCACAGCCCAAATTTATTAGGAAACGTACATTTAATAATAAAATATAAGTTCAGAAAAGGTCATGCAGAAAACTAATTGGAAGGAAACATGGCCTCTATTGACAATATTTAGGTTATGCATCACCTCTCTGAATTAGTCTTATTTTTCTATATTAAGTTGAAAAAGAATTTACATGGTCCAGACCCTAAAATTTCAAGTAGCCAATACCTTCAAAACAAAGGATGAGTATGACTGGTAATATAAACCAGACAATAGCTTCCACAAGAGTTTACAATAAATTCCAGCTAATAAGACCTTTTATCTTTATCTATATAATAGGTTCTGTGTATTTATATCCAGTAAATTACAAAAAATGATATGGGCAATATATTAGATGAGCCTGCATAGAGTAAATATGCATTGAAAGATTATGAACTAAGAAATATTTAACCACCCAAAAATAAGAAAACACCAACAGCACTGGAGGATAAATTGGGGAAAAGACACAAACACATTATGTAATATGCAAACATGCTTGACAGGAAATAAAAAAAAAAGCATACACCAAAAATTACCAGCTGATTAATACATCAAACAAATGTAGCATCAAACAATAGGAGTCCCAGTAAGGATCCAACACAACTGTTGACAGTAACACGTCCCTGGTATTAAACCCAATTCACTTCAAGACTTTCAAGTGGGAAAATAGTAGTAAAATGCCGAGCATAAAAACAATACTTATGAATCAATCACAAAAACACAAATAAAACCCTAAACCAACCACAGCACTTGCATACTTATAAATCAATCAAAAAACAAAAACACGCATATAGTCATAAATACACCAGCACCAAATCACTTATAAACACATGAATCCATCACACCACTTAATCACTTATAAAACATAAATCAATCAGAGCACTTGATCACTTAGAAATCAACAAACAAACCTTATACATAATACGCAAAAAGCCAGCTTAAATTTGTATTAACCAAAAACAATAAGGGGTATATACACAAAAGGCCAGCTTAAATTTTTATCAACCAGAAACTATGTGTGGAGGGGGAGGGGGGGGGGGTTACTCCGGCCCTTTATACCAAACAAAAGAGAAGCCAAAACAGAAAAAGATTAACTGAAAACGAGAACATGACAAACAAGACCAGTGCATTCATAATCGATTATGAACTCCCGCATCAAAACATTGAATTAATTCTAAAAGACCAGTGCATTTAATTATCCAAAACCAACTTAATATTCAAAACATTTTAATGTCACACAAAAAAGTCTCAAACTATCAGGACCTGAAAAGCATAGTAAATCGATAGTAAATGTAAACCGTAGCATTGGTAATGTCCAAGCCTTCAACGGTAGGACTTCTGGAACCTAGCACGAGCACCACGACCACCGAACTTTTTGGGCTCACAGCGTCGGGGATCAGCAACAAGCAGAGTCCGGTCGTACCTCACCAGAATGTCCTTGATCTCCTTCTTGCTCTGTTCATCCACGTACTTCTGGAAGTAGGCAACGAGTGCTTTGGCGATTGACTGACGGATGGCGTAGATCTGAGAGGTGTGACCACCGCCCTTAACGCGGATGCGCATGTCAACTTCGCCGAAGCGGGTGCGACCGAGTAGGAGGATCGGCTCGAATGCCTTGTAACGGAGGATTTCGGGCTGGACCAGCTCGATCGGGACACCGTTGATTTTGATCAGGCCACGGCCCTGCTTGCAGTGTGTGACGGCAACGGCGGTCTTCTTCCGGCCGAAGCATTGGACGGACTGGGTTGGGGCCGCCATGGTTAGCCTCAGTGTTCTAAGTCAGGTGGCTGGGAAAACCCTAACCCTGATTCTGCAGCGATGAAATGTGATGGGGAAGCTATGGAATATGTGGTAAGGAACAATTTAAAGGGTCTAGGGTTTTGCAGGGTTTCAGTTAAATGACGAATATGCCACCAGTATAAATTAAAAATCCCAAGTAAGTATTAGCCAGCCAAAACAAGAAAATACTGGGCTAAGCCCAAACAAGAAGGTCCTGGGCTGCTTGGGATGGCTCGTTCGGCTACCGTATGATAAAAAAATAAATTATAGTAGGTAATACAAGTTAATTCTATATATAAACGGATAAATACAGTAATAAATATAAGACAAAAATATTATCCAATGTAATCTAATATTTGTTTAGACATTGAATTAAGAGTGCGATAATGAAGTATTAATTCTATATCGACTAAAAACCTATCAATTTAGCCTAAGTATTCATTTTTTTGTTTATTTGGTCGGCAAACTAGTAAATTCATTATTTAATACTTTCTTTATTCCTAAATATTTTTTGTTTAAGGTTTTTGCACAGGGATAAAGGAAGCTATTAAATAGCTCTAGTATGAGTAAAAAATAATTGCACAAGACTAAAATACCCTTATTCAATACGTATTGAAAAGAAAAGGAATACAAAAGGCACTTAGTCTACACTTAATCTATTAAGCACTTATTGAAAAACAAAGATGAGGGTAAATTTGGAAGAAAATATATTAATTATGTTTTGATTTCATAAAACGACAGATATTATGGAACAAAAAAAATTATGTAAAACGATAGATATTTAGGAACAGAGAGAGTACATTTGAACTATATTAAATTCAAATGTTCTAAATTTGAATTTTTACAATCGTCAGGCTATGAGAGATATATCTCTTATGAATATTTAGTCCCACCGTGGATGGTTTGTCTTTGATCGAATCAAAAAAAGTTAATTGAGTTAGATTTAATTATTTAGATTTAATTTAATTGAGTTACTGGGTTTTAATTCGGATAATAATTATGAAAATGAAATTCATCTGATAATCACATTAGATACAAATAGAGATTTTAAAATTAAATTTAAATTAAAACCAATCAAAATTCAACTCAAATCTAATCCACTCAAAAGCCTAATATAACTCATTTTTAAAAGCTCAAGGTCACCTTAAAAAATACTTATTAACTTTTTTACAATGATTTTTTATTTAACATAACAAAAAAAAATATTATGTTTCATCGGACATCGGTGGCAATGGACACATTGATTAGGTTCATCCACCATTCCATCGCTCACAAAATCTCAATAGAATAACAATGGGTAGTAGTATTTCCTATTGATTTGTCTAGAAAGGCTTTCTCATCTAAAGATTGCGCGAACTTTCTCATGATAATGATGATGTTAAAACTTAAAAGCGTGAGATAAGTGGTTGAACTGAGAAGTTCAAGGTTTAGGAACAACGATGTGCATGTGATGGTGTGAACAATGTGTGAGAGATCAACTTATGGTTGAGCTTGGTGACTCTAGAATAAGCTACAGGAAACGTAGAACAAATATAAGAGTTAGAGAACATAAAGAATAACACAAAGAGTATAATAGTTCACCAGCTGAAGAACTTGACGAATTCACTCTAATGAAATCTCTTATTTCTTAGAAGATTTTTTATTGTTTAGAGAAAAAGATAAAATTATAGTTATAGAAATTACAATTGGTCTATGTAAACATCAGAACATGGTTGATTGCCTCATATATTTATACTCAAAGGTGGGGTGATGTATTCTCCAAGCTTGGACATATGTGAGAGTTGATACTACTTGAGATGACCTTTTATTCTTTTGATCAGCTCGCAAATAAAGGAGATCGATCTAAAGACTTTTTTTTTTTAAAGTAATATATTCATATCTTCATTCATATAGAAAAATGATGAATACAATAAAATGATAGTAAAGTCTTAAGTTCGGGCAGGGGACAGCTGACCCAACTCAAAAGAATAGAATTGCACAAAATATTTGTTGCGTCCCAGTGAGCTGCTCCAGTAAGAGCTTTTAGCCTTATAGAAAAACTTTAAATTAAGGGCTTTGGACAAATGCTTGTTATCTTCAATGATGATGTTCAGTAAAGCTTAAGTTGATGACTTCGATGTTATCCCTTTGAGTAATATTAGATGGATTTAAAAATTAAACTTAAAAATTAGATTTGATAATCTCAATTATTAAATAGATAATGAATCTCAATAAATATTGAGATTCACAATAAATCAATAGTTTTAATTATCAAGTTTAATTTTTAAATATATTTTTTAAGTACATATAGCATTGCTCAATCACTTTTAGCACAGACCTGACGTAAGCCAGAGGAAGATTTCATAAGGCAAGCATTCCTAACAACCTTTGCTTCGAAGCCGCACCATACCCTCTTTGTCCACTCACATTCAAAAAGAGTATGTCAATAGATTCCACTTTGGCTCTACTAACTTTTCTCGTGCGATAATATGAAAAACCTGATTATTGAATTTTGCTACAAACGAAATATAAAAACATTTATTCACCATTTTTTTGGTATATCAAATACAATGACCAATTGGAACAAATGACCAATAACAACAAAGGAGGAGGAGTACAAGCTAGCTTTAATTGAAGTTGGGTGTAATCTAAACAAAGATGATTGATGATTAACTTTTGATTTAATTAAATTAAAATCATGGCATAAGAACTTTCACCATCCAAAGTACATTTAAATACAAATATAAAAGGGGAAAAAAAAAAGAAAAAGACCAAACATTAAAACAAGATATCTTTCGTTTGCCGGCGAACAATATTCATGGTTGGGTAGATTGATCAGCTGATGCGGCGGCACAGGGTAATCCCATCACCAACAGGAAGCATACAGATCTCAATCCTCGAATCAGCGGCGAGGGCTTTGTTGAGCTCCAACACGAAGTCCCTGTAGTATCTAACATACTTCCTCAAAGGAGCATCTGGTGGGGCCACCACTGACCCATTCCATAGGGTGTTGTCGTAGCCGATCACACCCCCAACCTTAACCAGGTCGATCAGTCTCTTGTGGTAGTTGATATAGTTGTCCTTGTCTGCGTCTACAAATATGAAATCAAAGGTCCCATGGTATTGCCCCTGAAAATTCATCACATATGGACAAATACAAAGGAGTTAGTGTTTACCCCAGGTGGGAATTCTTGGATTTGGCCGTGGTACTGACAAAAAAAATTCAGTCCAATACCTTTAAAATTTACTATTTTAATGAATATTTTTATAGATTATTTTACAACTAAAAAATTTATTATTTTTGTAGATAATTTATTACATTTATGAGTATGTTTATCACTAGTTTGAGTGTTTTTATTACTGTTCTGATAATTATTTTTACCACTTATTTTTGGTACAAAAAACTAACCATTTTTATGGGTAATTTATCACATTTCTGTATATTTTTACTATTATTATTAGTGTTTTTGCTACTATTTTAGAAACTATTTTTATCACTTTTTAGGTAACACGACAGTAATAAAAACTCTTACAAATGTAGTAAAAATTTCGATACCATTGACAACTCTAGGATTCTTTGTTTAAAGTTTGTTGTTTTTTAATCTGTGTCTAAAGAAACGGTATAATGTGAATGATTCTAAGAATTATGTTAGTAACCATTTGATTAATCTATTTAAAACCGTTTAATAAGTTTATTGAAACTCTCTTTATTTTATAATATAATATAATAATTAGTGGTAACTCGTCTTTGGAGGCACAATCCAACGTAAGTTAAAAGTGATAAATTTAAGAAGAGAAAATTCAATGTGAATAATTTTGAAACGAATGTTACTGGCTGTTGGATGAGTTTAATTGATATCGTCAAATAAATTTACTGAAATCTATATATATATATATATATATATATATATAGAGAGAGAGAGAGAGAGAGAGAGATGGGGTTGGTAGTAAGTTACATCTTCAATCATTTCATCAAGAACAGGCAAAGCGGGGCCTTCTCGGAAGTCGATTTTGTGGGCAACACCAGCCTTTTGAATTATTGGCAAACCAATCTCATAGTTTTCTCTGTTTATGTCCAGGGCCAAAATCTGCAGATATTAAAAGACACAGATTTAATAAAACTTTTTAAATTTCTTTTGGCTACAAGTATCTACTTGCATGTGCTTGTTTTAATAGAATCCTCTGTTTTGGTGATGAGAAAAATGAAAAAAAGGAAAATACATGAGAAAATTTTTGACTTTAGGAAGCAACGTGAAGGAATTTTGGAGTTTTAAGCTTATGTAATTTGGGATGTAAAAAATGAGAAAAAAAAACAAATGATAATATAAATTCTAAGATTTTCCTTAATTTTCATGGGGAAAAACAGAAGAATTTTCATGGATAATTTTCATACCTTTCCATCGTGGGGAAGAGCAAGAGCTGTGGAAAGAAGAGAATAGCCAGTGTAAACACCAATCTCCATGGTGTTCTTGGCATTGATCAGCTTCAAGAGCAAGTTCAAAAACTGCCCTTCATCTGCTGATGTTGTCATGATATTCCTGTTTGGACACCAAACAAACATATCCAATACTTTTTTTTATTCACCAGCACAACACCATACATACAAACATCATCATTGCCAAATGAAAACAATACTAGACATGCCGAGAGATTCAGATTATATCAGTAATTGACGATGAGGACTCAAACAAATCAAGATTAACTCAAAGATATTGCAGGGTATAGACAACTCAAACAAGTCGGGTGAGACTCTTGATTTTATTAAACACAGAATAATTTTAAACGCACAACTCGCCCCAATGATGTAGGTATCGACCAATACTATGAATCATGATAATTTAAGAATTTGGATGGATGAAACTCACCATGGATGCTTGGCAGTCACCTCTCTAAGCTCTTTCATGGGTGCTGGCTCTGTTGGGTACACACTGGTTTCAAGAATATACTACAAAAACAAACAAAACCAATCAAAAATTTGAGAGAAAAAAAAAAACCATACCAAAGAACTCATAAAGGAAAATCAGCAAAAAAAACCTACCTGATAAAGAGCATCACTCTGCAAAAGGCTCTTGTGACCAACCTCCTGGTGTCTCCCATTCTGGTTCTGCTTGGCTTCTCCGTTCGTCGCCATTTTCAACAACTTTCTAAGCTCTTTTTCCCTTTCTTTCGCCGGAGTTTTGATTTCCAGGTGCCCGAAACCTGAGTTTAGCGAGAGGGAAATAAAGCGTATATATAGGTGAAGAGATCCGGTTCAAACCGGTGGGAGTGGTTGGACCGCCGCTCCTACCGGTCGGGGGTTGGTGAGATCCCTAGGCCTATATAGAAGAGTCTATGTTAAGGCCCCATTTATGGGCCCTTGTTTTTTCTGGTTTTTGTGGACTTTATTTTTTGAATATTACAATTTGTATCTTATTTCTATTTTATTCATGTGCCTAAGGGGAAGAGGAATAAGAATAGGAATAGGATCACTCTTTTGTGAAAGTGTGTCACCCATAGTCTGATCAAATTTTTTTTTTCTCGATTCAAATCTCTACCCTAAATAGGGTTTCGATCGTACAGCGGCCTTCGAACGGCCTATAGTTGCCCTTTGATTCAGTGTTTTACTAGATCTACTTTTCTATACTCCCTAACTCTTGTAAACTCGAATTCTCCGTTCTACTTGACTGAATTTACATTCCGACTTATATAAAATACGTTTGTAAAACTAAATTTTAGAATAAGACCTTTAAAAGTGTGGGTTAAATCCACACTTTTACATAGGTAAAAATTATGTTACCTATTTTTTTTCAATATTGTAAAGAAAAATAATGACTTTAAAGGTAAAGTTAAAACTAATTGATGTTATTTGTAATAGATCATAAATATTATGATCGATTATGAATACTTAAATTAATTGTAACTTATATTATAACGCCAAAAAGTTGTGAATTAATATTTAAAAATAATTTTTTTTTTATAATTAATCATAATATTTTACCATTGATGACAACTTTTTAAGTTAAAATTATCATATAATTTTTTTTCATATAGATGATTGGGATGTGGTGGGACCAACCAAAAAAAAAGCAATAAGCTAAAATTAATTAAAAATCATTGCATAGTTTTTCTTCATGTAGATGATTGGGATGTGGTGGGAGCAACCCACCATCATTAGTGGGAATTGCCAAGTCAGCAACAAGGTTGGTAAAAGGTTGGCGAAAGGTAGGCAAAGGGTATTTAGCTCCATATTTGGTGAAGAGTTGCTGGCCACCACTAGATTATAGTTTGTTTTGGATAAGTGCTTTGTTGGTTTATCTTAACACCTTTGAAACTTTTTTTTCCCATTATTTTTTTGGTGGGGGTTGGTGGAGGGTGGGGGGGCTTTCTGGTGTAGTTGATTTTTGCCTCTTATTATTTTCTATTTTGTTTTAGAAAGTAAAAAATGTAATTTATTTTTTACATTATTTATCTGAAAAATCGTCTTAATCACTTATTATTGAAACTGGTAATTGTATGAACTATAAATCTCAGCTGTATACAATTATCTCAAAAACATATGTATCTATTTAAACCCAAATTCTATTTCATCATCAAATTAAACTCAAGATATGCAGATTTTTGTTTTATTTCGTGAGCGACCTCTCAACCAATTCATTAAGGTGTGTTTTGTTTTAAGGTATTAAGAAAGAGGAATTGAAAAAAATAATGTTTGGACCCATCTTTTCTTATCTACACCTATGTTTAGGTATACATTTTGGATCATGTATTATCACCTATATATACATTTCAAGACCCAAATGAATAGTAATTTATAGCTACATCTGCTGTTTTAAATAATTCGGTTGCGGTGTATTTAGACAAAAGACTTTTTTACTCTCAAAAATCTTTAAGATATAAATATTACTATTTATCTTGAAAGTTCTTTAGCAATTTAATTTTTATACTATTATTCAGTATTTCATTTAAATAAAATATTTGATTAGATAAATATGGGACCCACTATTCTTTAATACCTGCATCAAATATGGGATGAAGAGACATAAATTTTATAGGTATGAAATAGATAGAGTTGTCCAATCCAGGACATCCTAATACCTAATCCAATACATCCCCAAGTTAAAATAAAATAGGAAAAAAAACACCTTTTATACTATAAGATGCTTATTTTTCCAATTAATGTATAAAGATGTGGTCTAAAACTTTGAGCTATCAAAGTCCTCTCGTTAAAAGTCGCGTTTCGTTAGTAGCTTCCGAGGAAAAAAAAAAAAACATCAACATCAACATCAACAACAATTTTGAAATCTGTCGAGAAAAAAAAAAACATCAATTTTGAAAGATACCAATTATTCAAATTTGCATGTGGTTTGCGTTGCATATAATCTATTGATTTTAAATAAAAAAATTATTTGTTGGATAATAGAATTGCAGGTGGGTTGCACGTTCCATAGTCCCGAGATGTGAGACGCCGGTGGCGACTGGTGATAACCACCCCAGGATATGCACTTTCGTCCTTGGCACACACTCCAGAATGAATAGTAAGTCTCAAGGTTAAGATTGATCTCGTAAAATATGATTATTGTATAGTATAAGACTTTAAAAGGTGCACCTGAGGGAAGAACTACCCTTAATATGCTATGCGCTATTAAGAAACGATACCGAATTAACTGACGAACTTAAACTGAAGACGGAAAAAGTCACTCATTATATACCTATTTATTAGACTAAAAACCAAATTTGATCTATTTGTAGTCATTAATTATAAAAATATTAGAGTAATATAAATAATAATATACTTTTACAAATGTCATGTTTTTATTAGGCAAAATGTCTGGCGTCTAAAATTTATTTTTTGGTGCCATAATTTGTTATAATATTATTTTTATTTGTTTGGACCAGTTATATATTATTGAAGAAGGGGTAAAGTTTGGTGAAGATGACAAAAAGTCTATTCATTACCTACTTTCACCAGCACAGAGGTTTGTGTTTATAAGTTTGGTTCAGTTGAACAAGTCCTGCATCACCAACCCATAACCTGACTAGGTCATCCATCCATGGCCAGTCAAAGTAAACCCACTTTGGCCTTGGCATTGATAATGGAAGCTTCTTCAAAGACTACTTTTTTTTTGGTAATTTAATACTAGGTTTCCAACCAATCTCTCTCTTACTCTTGGTAGCTTAACGCGGTGGAAATCGAAACGGTCACGTTTTGACAATACAAAAATACGGTACATAAGTCATTAGATTTATTCATTCCTTCTTGTATATGAGGATGAAAAGAAGGATTTGGATTAAAATTTATACCATTTAAATTCGAATTCAATTCAAATATAATTTAATTATCTGATGAATTTTATTTTTACATTTTTTATTCATATCTGTTAAGGCAAAGTGAATTTGATCAAGTTCGAAAAATAGACATACAATTAATTTGAGTCATGTTATCTTTAATTTAGTAAAAGTATAACCCGTCATGTGCAATGCACAAATTTATAATATTTCTCAGCCAATCTAACCACCATCTCTACTCCTACCCTTAATAACTTTATTAGAAAATATTGTATAATGTGTATGTGTTAAAAAAGTTAAATGTGAAATAGTTAATAAAAATAGTGAAAATTTCAAATTTCAAATAGTTATCCAAAGAATAAATGAGGTTACATAGCCACATGGAAGAATTCAATTGGCAGAGATTAATTTGTTTTTTAATAAATACTCTCGTTTGCCATATTAGAGATTGATAGATTTGATAAAAGAATCTAATCTAATACAATACAAATGAACAAAATATAAGATTAAATAGGATATTAGAATAATACGTAATTTTATCTAATGTTTGGTAATATACAACATAATTGTTGAATAGTTTTGAAACAAAATGTAAATACATCTAACAGACAGCGTAATTTCAAAATAAAAGACGGTTCAAATCATCTCAAAAATTTTGATCCAATGATCTACAGTGAGTACGTAATTTTATTTTCCCGCCCAACAATATTTCCTGACTCACACTTCTCTCTCCTATAGGCGATGTCTATCCATATCAGACGCAATCCCTCAATTCATGCCTTAATATCTTACTCCCAAATCTTCCTCTCTCTATTCTTTCTATCTCCCTCACTCTCCTCTTTCCAGCAAGCCACGCTAAAGATGACACTAGTGACTCCGACGACCCTCAGCAGCAATCAAATGTATCTCTTTCATCCAGCATCTATGGGTGTTCAAATTTTTGATTGGCCGCAATTTTCTATTCTACCCTACTGAACAACAAGCCGTAAAAATTGGGTAGGAATGCGGAAGAGTTTTTGATTTTTCGGTTAAATCAAGTAGGAATGCAGAATACCTATCAATTTTTGTATTTTTACCCCCACCCTACCCTCAAAAAATATATTTAATTTTTTTATATTTTTTTTAGTAATTATAAGATTATTTGTGATATATAATTTATATTATAACATTGTTATTGTTGTGGATGTTTGAATTGCGAAAATATAGACTTATTTTTTGTGTAAGTTACATTATTTGTGGTGAATTGATTATCTATTAGAGCAGTTATGATTTTAATGTGTTTCATATTGTTTAAATTTAAAATAATTGTTACTGTACTTGTGTAACAATTATGATTGATTGATGTTTCTGTTTTTTTATGTTTTATTGTAATTGTTGTTGTAGTTATTTTATGTTTTAGTATTTTTGATTTATTGTGTTGTTAAATTAGTGCATGTTATTTAATTGAATTGTTAAAATAATTCAAAAATTAATAACTACACAAGGGTTTACCCAATTTCTTATCCGATTAATTGGGTAGAAAGTCGGGTAAGAATACCACACCTAATCGGGTAGGACAGGCCAAGAAAATTTTTTTTCGTAAAATATCGGATAGGAAGACAAAAAACTATATTTCTTACCAGGGTCGGGTGACCAGCATCCCCGCCCGCAAGCGATGGCATGTGACGAAGCAAATTGGTGAAGAAGGAGGGATTTGGGGAGATTTTGACAAAAAAAAGGTTAAGGATTTGAGGAAATAACGGAGAAGGTTGTTTTTGTGCACAGAAGAAGGGATTATGTTCTCCAAAAAAAAAAAATGGTTAATCTTATTTTGCACCCTGAAAGATTGTTCGAATCTCAATTTACACCTTCAAAGATCAAAAATCT